GTCCCGAGGATGACAAGTCGTGGCCGACTGTCGCGATGACAGACCAGCTCCCCCCTTCGGGCGACAAACGGGACCGCTCCGCCGGCTCCCCAGACCAAGCTATCGATGCGTCGCAACAGGCGCCCAAAGACCATTCTACTTCGGAGAATAGTGCCCAAGCTGCAGATGATGCCGAGGGCAGCAGTGGAGCAGTCTCAAAGGACGGTTCTAAGACCAACGTAGTGGACGAGCCGGAGGCGCAACAGAAGGGTCAAGAAACGCAGGAGAATGAGGAGCAAGACGATGACGATGGTGAAGACGAAGAGGATGGTGAAGAGGAGGACGAAGAGGAGGAGGATGACGAGGAAGATGATGAGGACAGCGACGAGGATGACGAGCCAGAGTTGAAGTATACGCCATTGACTCAACACCTCGCGGGTGTGTATCGAAATGGGGATGCGACGAGCGCATTTCTTGTTGCTGGAGACAAGATGGTCTGGAGCCCACCGATTTGTTTCATGTCGTTCTCATAAGCTGACTACTCTCTAGATTGTTGGTACACACAACGGCAACATTGTAAGCACATACCACTATCAACTTCTCTATTTCGGTTGTTAACATCCCCCCAAGCACGTCTACCAGCTTCCCACCTTCCAATCTCTACGGGTATATCATGCCCACTCTGCCTCGGTGACGAGTATTTCGATCTCTCCCTATCCCTCACCCCTGACGCCCTACAATCCTGGGCTCCCTCAAAAGCTGGCCGCCCAGCAGCAGCAGGCCAGACCGAGTTCGCGCCAATCAGATGCATCTGCCGTGGCCACATCCAGGAAGCCGCGCGAGCCTCAACCAATCCCAAAGATACCATCAAACGAGATATATATTGCCACTTCCTCTATGGATGGAAATGTGTGCGTACAGTCGTTGATGGACATGAGGGACGTTCAGCTACGTAACTTCGCCCGTCCAGTGCAGGCTGTTGCCCTGTCACCCGAATACAAGTCCGATCGCACTTATGTGTCTGGGGGTCTGGCTGGCGAGCTCATAGTCACAGTAGGTGGGGGTTTGGGCAAGAGCACATCCACAACCACGGGAACAGCCGCGGCGACAGCTGCTGGGTGGCTAGGTAGCATGGGTCTTGGTTCCAACACTGGCAAGGATACGATTCATCACTCAGGAGAAGGCACCATAAGCACCATCAAGTGGTCTCTGTCTGGAAAATATGTCGTCTGGCTTAATGAGCATGGCATCAAGCTGATGCGGTCAAACCTCCACCTTGAAAATCCACAATCCAACCATGCATGGAAGAGGTTTGGTCACTATGACCGACCACAGACAGACGAGTGGGAGACGATGGCCAGTGTTTGGAAGGGCCGTGTGGAATGGATCGATGAACAGGCCTTTGAGACTCGAGAAACAGAAACTGAGCTGGATGCAACCCCTGTGTCCTCCCCGGCAGCTGACAGACTGAGGAGCCAGGCGACCCAAAATAAGAAGAATGTGGAAAGGCTTTTAGTTGGTTGGGGGGGAACAATTTGGATAGTGAACGTCCACCCAATTGCAGCCAATGCAGGCAGAAACACGAAGGAAAAGCATCCTGCAAGACCCGAAATCGTTAAGATGTAAGTCACCAACTCTTTTCGTATAGACTTGGACTAACGAGACCCCAGTCTTCGCCTAGATTGTATCATCTCAGGCATTACGTTGTATACGCAGAGCATTCTGGCGGTACTTGCATACTCGCATGACGAAGATGATGACGAGGATGAGGATGAGGATGAGTCGGTTGCATCGGTACAGGGCAGCCCTGCAAGAGGGCACAAACATCAGTTGTCTACAGCGTCTATGGGAAGCCAACCATCAGGAGGCATTCGTCGGCGTGTAAACCACCAGCGCCCAGAATTACGGCTCATCGATCTCAATTCCCAAGAAGAGGTTGACCGAGACGGTCTGACCATCAGCCGATATGAAAGACTTGCAGCAGGAGATTACCACCTCGGCGTTCTCCCTCCTCGAAATGCAGCAGCAGTGGTGTCATCCAGAGGTGCCCTGGAGGCCATAGCTGGCATTGGAACCGACGTTTGGAACGCTGCAATCAACCCCAGGTCTTTGTTTAGCTCCGGTGCAAGCGTGAGAAGCCACGAGAGTGGTGATGATGCAGGCTCTAGTAGCAGGGTAGGGGGCAGTATCAGAGGTCCCGCCCGGGCTGGTCAAAATAAGCACCTCGGTGTGCACCCGAAATTGATGAAACCTGGGTCTAAAATCTTCATCCACAGCCCTTATGACTGCATCCTGGCGACAAAGCGAGACATGGGAGATCATTTACTGTGGCTTATCGAACGCCAGCAGTATCAACAAGCCTGGGAACTTCTCGACGAGAACCCAGATATCCTAGCGGACACGCCAGACAAGTTTACCGATACGCCACAAACACCCTCGAAAGCACAGGATAGCATCGATGAATCAAACGACGACGATTCTGTGGCCGATTCAAGCTATAGGCAGTCTCTTTCAAGTACTGAAAAGGAAAAGACGAGAGTTGGTGAGCTTTGGCTGCAACAGCTTGTTGATGAAGGAAATTGGCTTGAGGCAGGAAGGCTTTGCAACAAAGTTTTGAAGACACCAAAGCAATGGGAGTCATGGTTTTGGACCTTTGCAGGAGCGAAGCGATTTGATGAGATTACCAATTTCATTCCCTCGGAGCCTCTGACCCCCCCTCTTCCAAAGACAATATACGAAGTCATCCTTGGGCACTATTTGCAGACGGACAAGCTTCGTTTCAAAGAGTTGTTGGACCACTGGTCCACTGATCTCTTTGATATCAATACCATCGCTACCACTCTAGAAAATCAGCTGAAGTTCCGCGATGTGCGCGAGGACAGCATTGAGGACGGGGAGAAAGGACGTGATTGGCGAATAGTCATTGAAAGCCTGGCCCATCTTCACGAGGCTAATGGCCGCCTTCGAGAAGCGTTAAAATGTTATATCAAGCTTCAAGATGCTGATTCAACGTTCCGATTGATCAAGGATAGTCACCTTGCGGACGCTGTCGCTGATGATATTCCTGGTTTCATTGGACTGCGAGTCTCATCAGATCAGCTCCCCACAATGTCGGAGAAGGACTTGGAGGACGCAACGGGGGAGGCTATTACTGTGCTAGTAGAGGAAGCACAGCATGGGTTGGTGAAGCCCCATGTTGTGGTAGAGCAGCTACTTGCTCAGGAGCTGCATCTATACCTTTTCTTTTACCTGCGGGGCTTGTACCGGGGTGAAGGGCTACGAGAGCATAGCGGAGAGCACGTTGATCGACTTGTCATGGATAGTCAGTCTTTGGTCGATGATTTCGCTGATCTGGCTGTCCATTTGTTCGCGACATACGACAGGAGCCTGCTGATGGAATTCATCAAGACTTCAACATCTTACGCTTTGGAAAAGGTATGTGCTAATTGAAGGACCTCAAAGGCTTGTGTGGCATCTACTAATGTCAATCTTCTTAGGCTGTCGAAGAATGCGAGTTATTCTCTTACTACGACGAGTTGGTCTACCTCTACTCCAAGACTGGAGAGATGAAGAGGGCCCTCTACCTCATCATCGACCGACTCAAGAATGTCCACAAGGCCATCGAATTTGCCAAGGAGCAGGACGACGCAGACCTATGGGACGACCTGCTTAACTATAGCATGGACAAGCCGAGTTTCATCCGCGGGTTGCTTGAGCAAGCAGGGACGGCCATCGATCCGATCCGGCTTGTGCGACGAATACCCGAGGGACTTGAAATCCAGGGCCTGCGTGAGGGTCTGACACACTTGATGAAGGAGCATGAAATACAGTACAGCATAAGCTCGGGTGTGGCGAGGGTGCTACGTAGTGAGGTTGCAGCCGCCCAGTCGGCTCTACGGGCAGGGCAGCGGAAGGGGCTTAAATTTGAGGTGGACGTCCAGTCGAGTGACCATGTCGATATCGAAACAAAGGACCCCGGCGCCACCGACAAGAAGCAGGATGGTGTGGCAGAAGACGATGCCCTGCCCGAGCATCACCACGAGAAACCTAAGCCAGGCCACTGCGCCCAGTGCCTCGAGCCCTTTGCGGAATATGAGATGGAGATGTTGCTCGGGTATTCTTGCGGCCACGTCTTCCACGTGAGTCATCTTTTGGATATACTGCAGAAAGGACGCAGAGCAGATGTAGATCTTGGTCCGGATGCGGATCAGAGCGAGCGGTACAGCGTTGGCAGGAAGGTCATGAGGGCGAGGCTGCTGCGGGACAAGGTGAGGGGCGGCTGCCCTCTCTGCCATCCGCGCGAAACTTAGCTGGTCCCTCGAAGCATAGCAAATTCACTTAGGCGCCCTGGGAGTCTTGGCTGGTTGGGTTTTGTCGACAATTTGAGAGCATACTGGGAGCATACCGACTGTAGTAGTTTAGCACATACCATAGATACCGCCGTTGCAATTTTTCTTTCTTTCTTTCTGAAATATATCAAACTTTTGTGTCGGGTCACATGTCATTTGTGTCGAGAAATTGCCGGGTCCAACATCATCAGTCACGAGAAAGGCGCGCCGCAGCCGTAGTCAATCTTTTTCTTTGGCCAAATATCACCTGTCACGAGAAACGCGCGCGAGGCAGTCAACAAATGATTCACGAGACAACAGGCAAAGTTGAGAAAACGGTTGGTCCTGAATTTCTTGGGTGTGTGTGTGTGCTAAAAGCTAAGTACAACACTTTTCCCTCATATCCTCAAGCATCTCTCCTTGAATTAGGATCCATATGTCTCAAATGACCATTTCAAAACCGAAAATCGAGCATAGCGAACAAAGATGAATAGAACCTTTTCCTTTCCCCTCCCAAACCGAATATTCCTCTCAAGTCTCCCAAGCCAAGCCAGGGTGATTTGTCACAATCGACAAACTACTCTTTTCCCAAGTGAAAAATGTTGTTGTTGTTTTTCCTCCTGTCAAAAGTAACCGCGTCTCAAAGACAAACCAAAGGATGATTTATGCTTGGTTGCTTGAGGGGCAACGAGGCTAGACGAGGAAAACAGCAGCCATGACGGCTGCTCCGATCGGAGCGGCCTGGCAGATGCCATGGAAGGTGCCACCAGCGGTGGGAGTGCCAGTCTCGGCGGTGGTGGTTGAGGTACCAGTGCCGGTGAGGTAACCGCCAGTCTCAGTGCCAGTGTAGACAGGGTAGGTTGAGAGAGAGACCGCAGTGGTCTGAGGGGTTGTCTCGCTACCAGTGGTAGCGGATGACTGGACATTCGAGGTAGGGACAGGGTAGTTCTCGGTAGAGGAGAGAACGACGGAAGAGGTTGAAGTCTCAGTAGAGACGGGGGGACCATACGAGATGGAGACATCGCAAGCCGTGGTGAAGTACATGGTGCATTGATTGACGGAGTAGACGGTGTGTCCTGCGATAGAGAAAGGCATTAGAAAGGATCATGAAAGGATGGGACAAGGTTGGGAGAGAAGACTTACCGTCGGAAATCGCAGTACCAACGACGCGGGGCTCGCTGGTCTCAGTGCGAACCTCCTGGGCTGGAAGATGTTGTTGTTAGAGATAAACAAAGGTGAGAGCATTTGGGATTGGGGGGTTTCCTACCAAGGGGGCCAACGGCCGTAGCACCAGGTGCAGAGCCCGCAAGGGCGAGAATGACGGTGATGACCTTGGAAGACATCATGGTGATTTCTTGTCTTGAAGAGCAAGAGGGTTAGTATGCTGCCGCTGCTAAGATCCAAGGAAGAAGAATCTCTCAAGTTGTGGAGTTGGGCAAAGCCCTGCAGACCCTTGCTGCTTGTCGTGGTCGAAGGAGGGGGGATCTCTCAGTTTGTGGAAGTTGGGCAAAGCCTCGCAGAATCTTTGCTGCTGCTTCTCACTTGTCGAGCAAGCGAGGGACGAGAAGGGGAAGAGGCGAAGCACAAGCCAGCATGGGCATTGTGAGTAGAGAGAGATATTGAGGGAGGAGGAGGAGGGGAGAAGGGGAAGTGAGGAGCAGAAGAAGAATCTGCATCGCCATGTTGTGACGAAGTGTTGGTCAAGGAGGAGATTGAGGCAAAGCGGAGAGCTTGACTTTACATTCTTGCAAATATGAAGATACACTTGCGATACTTTGCAGAAAGGTAATGGAAGAAGGATGATTGTTGTAGCTTTGTTTGCCAAAAGCGATGTTGGATAGAAACGATTGTTGAAGGTGGGTGAGGAGGGAAGAGGGAAAAAGAGAGAGAAGCAGGGAGAAATCGAGGGCAAGAAATAGGTGCCAGGAGGGGCGCGGGATCAGTAGGTGGTGAGGAAACAATCAGTGGCAGAAAAACAACAACAAGGTGCCGCCTGGTTTTAATTTCTGGCCAATGAGAAAATCAGAATTCGGTCAGTGGGAAATGCACTGGCTTGACGGCCGTTGACGGTCCATCGGTTGCGAGTGGCAGATGACGAGCTCATATGTGAAGCTGGGTGGTGACGCTTCCAAAGTCGCTGCTGTCCCATCACGAGGGGGGGAGAGGCGGATGAGCAGGGCACAACGCAAGCCCCCCGATGCTGGCCGACTTGAAAAACGGTCCTCTAATTTCCTTTCACCTCAAGGAATAAGTGTATATGTTCAATAGTCTGAGGCGGCAATGTTACGTGCGGGATCACGCTGTCTCTGATGCAGAGGGTGGACGAGATGATACCTGATCTGGGGGACTGGAGATGCGCCGCGAGTCCCTGCAATGTCACTCGGGCACAAATCTGAACTGCATGTGAGTTGACAACCGCCAAGGAGGTACTTAGATCTACTTGGTGCACATTGTCACTCTGCCAACAGCCAGGCAGAGCAGCAGGAGACCCGGGGGACACTCGGTGATATCTTTAGAGGTAAGTCATATTGTCGGCAAACAAAGGGCCAGACTTCCAAATCGGATGCCAGAGGGCCCTTTCATCCCATTTCCAATCCTATAGAGCAATGTACGTAGAATCGCCGTAGCGAAGTGTTCAACACCTTGATACACACGCACACCGAGACTCAGCGCCTGCATCAAAGCGCAGACCCTCCACCATGGCGTTGGATAAACAGCCAGCAGAACGTCGGTGGCTTCCCCCAGAAACTGACATGTCCGCCATTGTTACCAGCCCGGAGGACCTTCCTTCACTGCACGCCGGGCGAGTGAGTGGCAGAGTGTGCTCAGGGTGACAAGCAGAAGCACAAGTGCGTGTCAATGAAAACACAGCCTAACCCATGTGCCACCTCGCGCACCGGCAATCGCATAATATCACTGGAACATGCGCTTCTCTAGTAGCCAATATGCGGCAGCTTCAGAGTAGCGCAGAAACAGGTGGCGGCGCCTTCTGGTATCCGTCAACCAAGCCAAGGCGGCAGACACATGGCCCCTTGGCCAGCCTTTGCCAAATGAATATGTTCATCCAAGTCCCACGAATGTTGTTTTGACCAGACAATACACGCATCTTGGACGCCAGAAAATCCGACTAGCCGGGCAACGAGGTGAGCATCCCAAGTGTTTTAGATCATGTCGCACTCAAGCTAACTGGGAGTCGAGTTAACATATGTTTGCAGCGCTCTCCTGTGCGACCAAGACCAGAATTTAACTTGTACTACGTCGAAACCCATCGAACTTGCTTGTCTGCCCCATGCAGAATGGAGAAGGTGGATGCTGTCAAACGCTTTCGGTATCTGTCGACTGGGAGGGACTTAAGGCTGGCCTGAAACATAACCAGTCTGGTACGCGAGGCATGCAATGCGATGATGCGATACAATGCAATACAGTAGAATCATGGATCAGAGTGGGAGCACCTTGCGAGGTGAAACTTGCCGGAACACATACTCACCCCGCCTCTCTCTACAAAGACAATAGATGCTATATTTCTAATTTTACTTGGGAAGGCACAGGTCTTCCTTCCTAATGACGATCGCCTGTGGCAAGTTTCGTCGCGAGACATTGCAAGATACCTCATCTACCTACCCTAGAATGCATGCAAAAGTAACTTCTACTGCTGTCAGAATAAACCCATTTGGCACTCTCCATTTCCCATCACAGCCACAGACCTCTTCTGTAGATATTAACAATCCATACTATCCCTTAAGTAGTTTCCTTCGTGGGTGAAACTGAGCTAGAACTGACGAAAAACGATCACATCATATCATGTACGACAACCAGTCGGAAAAGTAAAAATACGTTGAGATCATATGTAAATTGGAAGTAGGCAAGCTAGATCTAACCGTGTATACCGGCTAACACATGGTCCGCAGACATCCCATTACACTCTAAAACATCTTTTCTTTTTGTCTTTATGGTAGCAGTCTCTTGGGGGTTCGTGGGTAGAACGCCGCGAGATGGACGCTGGGTAATGCCAGGAACCAAGCAACCACTCGGTCGAGTCCAATACCACCTCCACCATGCGGTGGCACACCAACTTGGCGGAACGTCGTGAGGTACTCCTTGATACCTTCGCTATTTGGGTCAACACCCTTGGCGCGGATGCGCTCCTCGAGCTCTTTGGGGTCGTTGATACGTTGGCCACCAGACAGAACCTCCTGACCACGGAGGAAGAAGTCGAACGCATTCGTGACACGGATATTATCGCCAACCGTGGTACCGGCGTCATCGACCTTTGCGTAGAAAGGTCGTGCAGTCTCGGGGAACTTGTCAAGTACGTAGAAGTCGGTGTTGTATTTGGCACGGACGACTGCGCCGAGAGCCTTCTCCTGTGCAGTTGACATGTCCTCGTCATCGCGAACGTTGCGGAACTCCTCGGGACCTTCCTCTCGCAATAACTTCTGACCCTCGGCAAAGGTCAGACGGACTTCCTTGCCTGGCTCGGGGAGGAGGAAATCTTCCGAGGGGTAGACGGATCGAACAACCTCGATTTCGTCGGCACATCGCTCTATTTCATCCATTAGCGGCGTTCCTCACCAGACGGATTATGGTAAAATTGCTCCAATGAAGGAAAATAAAAACATACCACGAAGTCCGCGAAGAATGTGTAATAGAACACCTTCAAGCACTTGAATAACTTCGAAGTAGCTGTGCTTAATCTCCATCTCCAGATCGAGACCAGTGAACTAGCCAGAGTGTGAGTCATTGTCCAAAGAAGGGAAGGGGATCAAGAGAACTAACCTCGGTCATGTGTCTAGGGGTGTTCGAGTTCTCAGCTCTGAAAACAGGACCAATGCTGAAGACACGCTCCCTTCCACCAGCAATCTCAAATTGCTTGTAGAATTGAGGAGACTGGGCAAGGAAAGCCTCCTGGCCAAAGTATGCCAGTCTGAAGACATTGGCACCACCCTCCGACGCTGCACCAATCAGGCACGGTGGCTCGAATTCCTTGAATCGGCGCTCCTCAAGGTAAGAGCGGAAGAGCCTCTTCACCTCAATACGGATGTCCTACGTTTTGTTAGAGAACTGTCCAGAGATTTGTCTGCAGGAAAAGAGCCAATGAGTGGGTATGATTGTGACGTACAGCAATAGCCTGCTGGACAGGAGCGCGCTTGTGCATCGCGATGTTGTCAAGGTGGGTGAGCATGCTTGCGGCAGGAATGCCACCCTCCGCCTCGGGCTCCTTCTTGACCTCCTCCTCGGCCTTGGGCTCTTCGTCGCTGAAGTTGGCAACTGGCTGGTTGGAGGCGGCCATGGTCATTCCGAGGACAGGGGGAGCAGCCGCAAGTACAAAGGCCTTCGTGATATGAAGCTCTAATGTGGAAATTCGGCAGCTCTTGACCGGCTCAATGGGTCGCTTTACTTGAGCCTCGACGGCGATGAAACTCTCGGGGTTGATGGCGGTGATGAACTTGACCATACGTCTACTGATAATGGGCGTTCCTTCGGCTGGCAACTGGGACTCGGCGCCAGTGCCTGTGATGGTGGCCAGAACAAGACCCTGGATGGTCCAGTTACCTCCCTTGCGAAGCTCGACGAATCCCATCTTGGCGCTCTGTGTACGGCTATTCTGGAGCCATGCTCGAATGACGACCTTCTTTCCATCGTACGACTCGTCCAAATCGCGGAGTTCGACTTCCTCGGCGTCGGCGCTGAAGGTTGGGTTCGTCACAGTTCCATAGTTGTCCTTGGCGGGGTCATCCTCGAGCTCGACGTTGGCGACCTGCGTAGTAACACGCTCTGCTGCACGCTGCGCTTTGAGGGCCTCCTTCTTGGCCTTGGCCTCGGCCTTCTTGAGGGCCTTCTTGGAAGGTCCGGCAGCGTTGTCTTCCTCCATTTTGTTGGTGATTGTTGTTGTAAGAACTGAAAGTGGGCGGCACGAGCTTGACTCACACTCAATTCTTGGAGGGGCAGTTATGGAGGGGCAGTGGGCAGATTTGTCTGGCAACTATGTGGGGGCCGTTCCTGCCCAGTTTACGATCGAATCACGTGAGCTACAATCACGTGAAGAGTCCAAGAGGGAGACTTGGTGGTCAATTGGACACTACATAGGCAGCAGTATTGTAGAAACTGTGCAGAAATTGTCTAGATTACTGTACGGGAAATCATAGGAAAATGAAGAGAACAAGATGTGGTTTAGGGGGGGCTCCCAAAGTGGCGTGCAACTTTCAAGTTCCAGGCAGCCGCTGTATGGTACGGCTCCCGAGTCTCCGGCCGTTGATAACACTCGGCCGGTAAAACTGGGCCCTTAAACAACTGATCTATAAAAGGCCTGTAGTGGTTGATGACTGCCTAAGTCTCGACATGTATTGACCATAAATTATTCCGAACTATTCTCTGTGGCGATATGAAGATCACTGAAGTTGGCTGCATGGGCGTTAAGCCAGGGCTGCGTATTACAGACCCCAACACCCCCGAAGGCGTTGTCCTTCCTAGCGTTTGGAAAACCGTCTTGTCCCAGCCAGGAGGTCCGCAAAACGTCTTCTGGGGTCTTGAGAAGGAAGATCCGTCAAAGGTCTGGGCTTTTTTCGACTGGGATTCGGTGCAGCAGCATGAGGACTTCGCAAAGAGGTAAACTAGAATATACACAAGCAAGTTCCCGTGGTGATTCTTGCTGACCACCTGCATAGATACGGTGCGGAAGCCGTGAAGGATATTCCAAAGGTGTGCACTCATGGCGAGTTTACCAAGCACGTTGCTTTAATTCCGTCGAGTCATGCTCTCAGGTCGCCCTCAACGCGCATTATTGTTGGCTACTTTCCCTCAGATATCTCAGTTGGCGACAAAGACGCTATAGTGCAGCAAGTACAGCGTGTACTAACAGAGCGAGACGGCAATTCTTCTGGCTCTATTTGTTGCAGCTATGGATGGGGCTTAGAGATCGACTATCCCGTACGCGGCGCCAATAATGGACTGGCTGGATCAGTTTTTATGGTTTTAATTGGTGAAGAGACTGAAGGCGAGCATAAGACTCTTGCTGGTCGGCTAGCTCATGCAATCAGGTACATAGAGAACTCAATCGGCTTTCACGAATTCACAATACAGATTCTGCAGCAGGAAAGGGAATAAATTTTTCTGAATGTTGCGGTCTTGCTTGCCAAATAAAATTATCAACTTTGTGAACGGAGTGCGATCCTAAAACACAATCTTGGTATGTATGGAAGGAAGTAGTTGATATGGATTTATAGGTGAAGGAATTACCTATCCATGATTAATTTCGTTCCATGTACCCTCATGGCATGATTCTGAAAATGCATTTTGTTGTCACACAGAAACTTGCAAACTTGACATTCGACTTCGCCATGGTCTGGTATATAAGACAAATGGCTACGCCGGTAGTGCTTAGATAAGGCGCTGGGGGTGTAGAATTCACGTACAGTACGCTATGAGAGCGTGTCTGGCCTGAGTCTCCGGCCATTAATAGCACTCGGTCGGTAAAGCTGAGACAGCTGGTTGCATTCATGCAATCATGGAACAAGTTAACATAGTCCAGCCAATACAGCCATAATCCCACTGTATACTCCCGCACATATCACACAATCCCTGACAACAGCTTGGTCGGATCCACGCAGCAACCCTAACGACATCACCACTGCCGATACACCCCCGATGGCGACAAAGACGATCAACATGCGACCCAAGAAGCTGGGAATGACGAAGAAGGTGAGAATAGGGGCAATAATAGCTGCAATGCTAACATAGGCAGCATTGAGGAGGATCCGAGGGCGCTGGGAGGCCCCCTTCCTGGGCTTCATGGGGTCGTTCCCTTGCTTGCTTCTCGTCGTGTGGGTAGTAATATCCGACTGTATCGGCGAGGGGGGCGGCATACCCGATATTTCCTTCATTGGAGGTCCGGGCTCATCTGCCGCGAAGAAGGGGAGACACACGAGATCGCTCTCGTGGTGGATAAACCTAGCCTCGCTCTCAACAATCGGGCCATCGTCCCGGAGGAAGTCCCTATAGCCGTCGATTTCTGCGTTCGTCGGTCGGGGGTATTGCTGTATTTCATGGAAGGCGGCAAGTGTTTGACCTATGAGCGGATGTTAGCCTTTACGGGGAACAATGTGATGTCAACCTAGAAGCCAAACTCACGGTACTGTTCTAATTTAAAGCTAATATTCTTCATCAGCTCATCCCTGGCAATCCCACGCTTGCCTTCTTCTCTTCGAGAAGCGGGGCGTATATGATCATGCTGTGTTCTATCACAGGCATCGTCGTAATCCAGTCTCCCCAATTCCTCTTCGAGTACAGCGAGCTCGTCTTGGATATGAAGGAGAAGGCGGTGGTTTAACGAGGCATAACGTCGATATACTGGATATATTAGGGTGTGTCCCATTTCTCCAGCCATGTTCATGGCGATCTGTTGGTATCCCGAAATAGGAGGATCTCTATGAAATTCTTGGGGCTCCCGATGCGGCATTGGGCCCGGCATCGTGGGCCCATTGGGACCTGGACCGGGGCCTACAAGCTGCATATGGTTGTTCGCCCCAGGAGATGACGACCATCCACCTGCGAATGCGTCGGGGTTTTGTTGATCAGGTGGCATTGGCTTTATCATATGAGGGTAAGGAGAAGGCCCTGGCATTGACTGGTCAGGGCTCCAGCTGCGGTGTGACTCGCTTTGCCTACGGTCTTGCGAGAAGACATCGCTTTGGAGGCTGCTTGGGACTGAGGAGTAGCTATGGCCCGCTGGAGAAGATGGCGCAATAAAGGATGATTTTCGCTGTCTGTGGCCTCTTGTCCGTCGTGGGCCTTCTACTGGAGAGTCAGGCTGGTAATTGAAATGCTCAGCCACGGGTTGCTCGCCGTTACCAGGGGTAAGGGGTACGATTGCAGTAGGAGAAGGTGGAGAATTCGAAGAGGATCTGGTGTTATTCTCTTGGGGATTTGAGAATGGCGGCATGAAGTTATTCGAATACGCTCTTTGGCGGTCGGGCGGATAGTACGGGCCAGGCGGCCGAGGAGTTCGGCTATGAGAAGCCTGTGTGTTCAGTTGTCCTTTGGGAGCAAACCGACGAGGTCTATGGTTGGCCTTGGCTCCGTCCTCTTCATCTGAGCAGTCTTCGATGGTAGGAGTATGGTGTAAGTCAGAAGAGGCAGATGTTGGAATGAACTGAGGTGCATCATGGATAGGGGATAACTGCGCTCCATTGTTATCGCCTGTTTCGGAGTATTGCGAGCCACGCCGAATCGTAATGAACGGTTCAGCCATGGTGAACCTGTTGTTCGGGCGCAACTAAATTTACAAGGTTCGATATTCGGTTCAAATAGAGGGTGAGTCGTGGGCGAAAAGCAGACGGGATATCAGGAAACGAAGAACTGGTCATATGACGACGAGGTGCACGTGTAATTGCAGAGTAAGACAGTCAGTCATGAGATTGGCGGACAAGTCAGGAACCAGCCTTCATTCGGGAGGGATGAAAGGGTAGCAAAATAAGTAGGCAGAACGAGATTAATTAGGAAGATACAGTCAACTCTGCAAGCCTCGGCTTGCTTGAGCTGGGAGCAGGGCGCAGGGCAGTAGATGGTAAATGGCGACGCGACGATGATTCAGCTTGAGGTATGTCGCTGGGAACCAGCCGATGGCATGAGATACGATACAGTACACTAGAAAGACAAGATGAAGAAGGGAGATTAAAGAAAAAGAAGGGGAGGGCGATCACTGGTTCAAGTATCAATGCGGCCTACCCGAAGCCGGACACACACCATCCACACGGGGCTTGAACAAACATTCTGGCAAGGCGAGACTGGCGGCAGCGGGCAGATGAGCAAACCATGGGTGGCAGGCTGTCCGGAAAATGGAGGAGCACGCTGTGACCAAGCTCATGATATACCAATGCACACGGTATGCCCGGGGGTGCGCTGCTACGGGCATGTCGTATCATGTGCACGTCACCCAAGGTTCCTCGTTCTGGAGGGTCAGATCGGGTGAGGGTTGGATGGAATGGGCGGGGGGGACCGGACGCTGATACGCAGCTGCTGGTCCAAGAAGAGGGGGAGAAGCGATGGGTGCATGGGTCAATGAGGCTGATCTCGGTGATTGGTAGACGGCTATCCAACATGCGTAGGCGTTGTTTGTTGGCTGGCTGAACACTGCCGTGACGTCCAGGGCGAACGCTCGATTATGCATGTGGTCGGAGATATTCAGACAGTTCGGATGCGGCTCATTTCCGCAAGGAGCTCGATGGTCAATGCCATGCATAGTCGTCGCACATTGGGAGGGATGAAGTGTGCAAATATCAGCTCATGGTTATCTCAAGTTCGGCTCCAAGACATTTTGATACTCACTATTCACGGAGGCTTGCAGAAGCTCACCCACTGATCCACAGCAAGACATGCATGGATATGGATAGCATGGGGCGCTTCCGAATCCCCCACACACCATCAACAGGCTCCACAGTGTTTACCCTGGCGAATGAGGGAGGATTTGCTATGTTTGAGAAAGTTATCTCTCGAATTGGGTTTTCTCTCCATGGAGATGGGCGATCCCTCGTCCGAGAAGTTGTGGCGTCAGATCTGGTGCTTGTAGCTTGGTCTGGAGCCTCTTCACGAAGATATACGCAGGTGCAGGGTAGGCGCCGAACCGCTTGAAGAGGTCCCACGCCATTCCGAGCTCTTCCTTTTTTTGTTGAATGAAGATGGAACAGATAATCGGCTGGACTACAGCTGCGCTGGATTTGGCAGGGTTTACAAGGACTTGGATGAGCCTAGGTAGAGTGACTGGAGCGTGATTGAAAATTTCCTTGCATCACAGCGCCCTGCTGTACGCCTGCATCCAGCATCTCGGGTTTACTTCGCTCCGCAAAGCTGGAGATGGAGCTGAAATTTGACCAGACCTCTCGCTAGTTATTCGCAAACTCAATTCCTACCGGAGCTTGTGCAAAGCGCTGCCTCAAATTTCCAAACCCTCCATCCCCCCGATTCCTCGAGCGAGCGCCCTCACTGCTGCCCAGCCTGTCAGCGGCCGATGCAACCTGAGCTGTGAGCAGCTTCCTGCAGCTTGCAGCTTTAGCGTCGTCGCCATTGCACATTGCCCTCGTGCAGCTCTCCAATCAACACCACCGCCTCAAGGTGCCTGGCTGGCCGGTGCCCAGTGATCGATTCGCACCCGAGCCATTCAATTCCTTGCAGCTTTGCCTCGCTGCCCAAAGTCGCACGCGCCCTGAAACAGGAGCAACAGAGTTTCCTCCCAAACGAACCTAGCAACGCACGCCCAGCCGCCCACGGCGCGCCCTTGCAGCAATGGGCCGAGTCCCAGTCGGCGAATTGAGCAGATACCTCCTTGGTGGAAGACTCTCTACGAATGGCTGCTTGACGTCTCTCCGTCGTACGCCCCGAAGCCGTCTGGTTGGACCAGCACCGCCCACCCTCCGTCCATTCAGCACTTTCCACGCCGCCAAAGAACAACCCGAGCCCACACACCAGCAGGTACAAACGCCTCCGGCGGTTCCGCTCCGGAAGAAGTTGAAGGATGAGGCGAAGCAGGCACGCAAGCAGGGCAAGAAGAAATCCAAGGCTGATTCCCAGACCGTAGAAGGCTGGGAACTGACAGTCGGTATCGAGATCCACGCCCAGCTAAACACACCACGCAAGCTATTTTCATCCGCAAATACCTCGTTCAACGATGACCCAAATAGCCATGTTGCCTTGTTCGATGTGGCGATGCCCGGTAGCCAGCCTATCTTCCAGACGGGAACGTTGATACCTGCGCTCCGAGCGGCGCTTTCACTGAATTGTGATATTCAACCTGTTAGTCGCTTTGATCGGAAACATTATTTCTGGTGGGATCAGCCTTCCGGATACCAAATCACACAGTACTATCAGCCTTTTGCTAAAAATGGACACATCACACTCCTAGCTAGAGATGGAATTGCACCAGAGGATGGAAAGAGTGTCACTATTGGCATCAAGCAGGTCCAGATGGAGCAAGATACGGCCAAGACGTTAGCACACAACGATAACACACAGTGGCTTGATTTCAATCGAGTTGGCGCGCCGCTGATTGAGATAATCACTGAGCCAGAACTACACCACCCCCGAACTGCTGCCGTTCTTGTCCGCAAGATCCAGCTCCTGCTCAGCACGGTTGACGCTTGTGTCTCCGGGATGGAGACTGGCGGCCTGAGAGCGGATGTCAACGTGTCTGTGAGACGTACCGACGACCCGAGCCAAACATTGGGAACCCGGACTGAAATTAAGAATCTGAGCACGATCAAGACGGTGGAAGATGCCATCATTGCCGAACGGGACCGCCAGATACGGGAGCTTGATGCTGGTAGACGGATTTCAAGTGAGACCCGTGGATGGTCGATTGGCTCCACAGAGACCAGGAGGCTACGTGGAAAAGAAGGCGAGGTTGATTATCGGTACATGCCGGATCCTGACATTGCACCCCTGGTTATTGGGAGCGACCTCATAGCCCATCTCAAAAAGTCGCTTCCTGTCACTCCAGACACAGAGGTCGACAAGCTCATCTCCTATTTTGGTCTCACACCTCAAGATGCTCTATCTCTAGTCAACATTGACAACGGCGCCCGGGTCGAATATTTCTACAAGGTCCTGTATTCGGTCCAAGATATGATTGCCGCTGACGATCTTGATGGCGAGGGTGCCGATGTCAAGACCTATGCTGCGTTGGTGGGTAACTGGACTCTTCATGAGCTTGGCCGCTTGACTACTTCGAAAGCCGGCCCTCTTGGTATGGTAGACTTAACTTTCACCCCAGATGGTGACTGTGCTCAAGTACCTGATGCTGAGCTGTCTCAGCTACTCTACCATCTCTATCGCAAGAATATCACGGGCAAAATAGCAAAGGAGCTGCTCATGGCACTGTATCTGGGCGAGCTTGAAGATGGCGTCCGGAGCGCAATTGATATGCATGACCTCTGGTTCAAGGAGTATTCTCCAGAAGAGTATGAGGCCCTAGCAGACGAGGTCCTGGAAGGCGAGGACAAGGTGTTACAAGAGTTTGCCACCAGTGCAAAATTCCCGCAGGGCAAGCTCATGTTCCTGCTTGGAAAGATGATGCGTGCAGGACAGACGGAGCGCATCGACCCGGCTAACGCAGAGAAGGTGATGAGAACCCGGATAGAAAACCTGCGCCCTTCAGCAGCATAGCTTGTTCTCTAGTAGGCCAACCCAGTGGTGGTGTTCCGCGCTGCCGCGTACAAAGCGTACAAGAATGCCCAACCTGAGACAATGGAACGGTTGGGTAACCGGGAACTTGGCGAGTGCGACCACTTCTGCCACCGCCTTGGCTACCACGGCCGTTGGCAAGCGTCCGGCCACCTGATGTACGTGAAATGGAATGGCGGAGCTGCGTCAGGTTCTAGCCCCTTCACGTTACTCAAGAAATACTTGAGGCACGCTCCATAGCTGCAGCTAATGCACGGAAATTTTCCCAGGTTCTCATGTCTTCGTTTTTAATTCAATGATGACGGTCTCGTTGTATTATTATTTTGTAATATCAAGTTAAAACACCATGCTAGGAAGGGATGGGAGAGACCTCGTGTCTGCGCCAGTGACATCTACAATAGCTGGTGATGATGAAGCAACCAATCTGTTCAGACCCGAGTGCCTTTCTAATTCCCCCCAGCACGCCAAGGCCGTCAACGGGTATGCCAATGACGATGATACTTCGAGTGGTTCTTGGGACGGCCCAGCTCTCACAAAACCTACTACATCTACGGGCTGGCGAGGGCCCTCCCGCAGCAGCCTCAGCTCTGGCCACGGTGCCTCCAGCATCTCAACATCCACGTCAGAGGAAGAAGGAGCCCCATCCCTGAGCAGGATCGCTAGCGGCCAAAAGCCGCGTACGTCCAGCTCTGACGAGTGGAAAGGCCCTGGTTCTTCCCGCGCCACGTCCACCGGCTCTCATAGTCAACCGCAGCACGCTTCCTCGCTGAGCATAGAAGGGACGACATCCCCGACCGAGACCGGAGGCGATCCAGCGGAGACGGGCGCGCAGGGCGGCATTCCAGATCAGCAAGACAGACTATCAAATGGCGCGACGGCGGGGATAGTCATAGCCGCTATGACGGTCCTACTAGGCATCATATTCCTGGGACGATACCTGTACAAGAAACGCCGGCGCGAGAGACGGAGATGCTGGCACGACGACTCGTCGGGGATAGGACCTTACCACAGCGACTCCCGTCACGACCCGCCAGCGCCAGCACCCCGCACGTCCGTGTTCGAAGACGCCGAGCCTTCCCAGCTGAACAGCTGGTTGGCACACCACCGCCCGTCGAGGAGCAGGGCGCCGAGGAGCTGGTCAGGGTCTCCGTCTCCGGTGGAGGTCCAGCCGGAGAGTGTGGAGCTCCGTTCCTACACCAGACCGGCACGCCCGAAGCTGTTTGAGGTCGGGAGCCCACCCATCCCGGGAACTACTGGCGAACCTTCGAATACCAGGAACTATGCCGATCCCGTCCCGCAGCAGCAGCAGCATCAGCACCTGGGTGTGGAGGGAGAAACGAGAGGTCGGGAGGCTGCAGCACCGTTGAGGGGTGGGCACCGGGCGGCCGTGCTGCCGTGGGAGGAGGGACCTCGGCCGGACAAGTGGGCGGCGTGGTGAAGATTACTATGTTGACTGGGAGATGGACGAATTGTTTCCTCGAATTGTCTCAAAGGGCTGAAGTCATGATGTAAAGCCGAATGTTGGTAGAGTGGGTAGTGGAGGCATTGGTCCGCCCTCTACTCAATCAAATGAATGATCCATCCAATGGACCCAATTAAGCGTTCTCTGGCAAACAATAAAGTGACTAAAATTATGCAAGAATGATAGTTTTCTCCGGCCCCTCAAACTATGAACTAGGTGCGGTAAGTGGATGACAAAAGAATTAAGACACTACACTGAACAGTGGTTATAAGGAGACCACTTTCTAGAATGGCTGAGGCAGCATAAAACGAGATGAAAGAACATCTCAAGTGTATTGTCCCCTAGATCTCTGATATTTGCTCTCAATAATCTGAAATTACTATTCGCAGACTCGAGAATAAGCAGTGTAATGTTTCGAGTGTCTCAAATTTAATGTCATCCACTCGGCGCGGGTGAATGGCACCATGACCCATCTCTGACGTCGTCAATTGAGTTAGCAGATCACGATCACGATCACAGTCTGTACCTTCACCCGTTTTGGGCCAGCTTCGATCTTGGCCTGATTGATGCGGATTTGGCTTTATTCTTTGCGTCATGACTGCTACATTCGTTTCCCCAATTCCACATGCCACCAAACCAGGCCTCCCGTTCGTCTGTTTTGTTTTGTCGCCCCTCCCTGGAGTAACGTGCCCATGATGTAATCGATCCTCGCCTTGGTCGTTCCTGCCGTGGGGCTAATTCAACGTTCATGTATATGAGAGCTTCAAGCTTCTCATTCTTTAACCATTTCTTGTTCACTATTAAAAACACATCGCAATAACCTCAATTACCATCTGCATCCCACCACAAAGACAACCACTTTCACAAATTCCCAGCTTCAGCCATGTCGTCATCACTCACACGGACCGTCGCCAAGCGCGCACTCGTTCTCCCCCGTGCTGCATTCGCAGTACCCGCGCAACGGACCTTCACCACTTCTCTCGCCAACCAGAAAACGGCCACCGAGTCCGTCAAGGATGGGCTGAAGAAGGTCGATCGCGTTGTCAGCGATAACATTGCCATCCCTGCCGTTGACGCTGTCGGTAAGTGAAACCAATTCCCGAGTGCTCACATAGTCAAACGATTTCCTGGTTTGGCGCCACTGTAAGCAGTAGCTGACACGTTGATTCTAGCCGCCGCACGGGACATGGCCAAGGACGGCGTCGACAAGATCTCGCACAGCGACACCGCCGCCCAGGCCGAGGAGCTGAAGGGCCAGGCCAAGGGCAAGGCGAACGAGTGGGAAGGCCGAGCCAAGGGGGCCGCGAAGGAGGCCGAGGGCAAGGCCAAGGGCGCCGCCGAGGAGTTGAAGCAGAAGCTGTAATTGTCGCCGGACGGATGAATATCGAGAGAGCAACCTGTACATCACCTACTTAGGAGCATTGATAAGGGAACAATAATAACTGAATGACCACCATTCAATTTGATTTTCTGACGACGGATGGTTACCGCACCATCGGGTCTATCGCTGTATTAACCATACGTCCCATCACATACTCTAAATTTTTAGCCCTCTATGAATCCGAACCCTCACCGTGCCTTCGTCTATTTACCCTTCTTCACCTTCTCCAGGCTCTGAAGCTGGGCAAACGCCCGCTTGGTGGCGCTGATGCTCTGGCAGACCAGGGAGCCGGGGATGACGATCCAGAAGAAGTTGCATAGGAAGTAGTAGGCCCAGAAGTAGTAGTTCTCGGGCCGGCAGTAGTGCTTCTGGTCCATGAGCATGGTGAAGGTGCAGGTGGCGTAGTACAGGATGTCGCCGTAGATCTGGCCGACGCTGACGATGATCTGGAGCGAGTGGCGCAGTGGGTGGCCGGTCACGATGGCGTAGGCGATGAAGAAGGAGAGGGGCCCCCAGAGGAAGGCGGTGACGGACTCCATGGGGACCAGGAACGAGTCCTGGGTGAGGTAGCGCGAGTCGGAGAGGGAGTACTCCTTCCAGAGCTGGCCGAACAGGTCGAGCTTGCTGGCCATGTCCTTGAAGTTGTAGGCGAAGTAGCCTTGAGGGGGTGTCATGTTAGAGCATGTCTTATGAGGAAGGGGGGGCAGATACTCACCCTCAAAGAAAGTGTGGATGAAGCCGCAAAGGACGAACCACAAGGCGGCGAACATCTCCCAGCTGCGCAGGTCGGGTCGCTTGCTCTGGATCAGGGCGTATGTGGGCACGAGGACGGCACCGCAGCCCAGGCCAAAGTACGAGACGAGCTCCAGCGCATCCATTGTGTTGGGCGCATACCCGGGGATGACAACCCCCAAGGGGTAGTACGCATGCGCAGCTGCCGAGCCGTTTGTAGAAGCCATTGTGAGCAGTCAATTGGTGGTTGCTGCGAGAGAGAGAGAGGGCGTAGGATGGAAGATCTGAGGTCAAAGAGGGGTCCAGGGCCAAGGAGAATTTTTGCGGCTATCTCGATACTTAAACTGACAGCCAAGCAAAAGGTCGGTGTAGAGGGCCAGGAACAGATCTTCAGGCACAAGATGCAAGTAGAAAGTCAGTCGAGCCGGAAGAGGGGCTTCCGGGCCGCGGATTCCATAGAAATTGCCAATGATTATCTGCACCTCCCTATTTAAATTTCAAATCTTTGGTCCCTGAGCCAAAGCGAGAACAGATAGGCGCGGCGCTTGGCGGTGTGGGGAGACTGTAACGCCCCGAGCGACTGCCCGGTCAGAGGTAAGGATTGAAATTAGCCAGGCACCATCCTTGCCTACGGGTGTTGGGGCCATTTTGGGTTTAGCAGTCAGCCATCCATAGCGCTTGTTGCACAGAATACATCGCTTTTCATTGATCCAACGAACGCATGGCCTTGCTCTATTGTACTAGATATTCTATATGCAAATCTAGCAGGTATATTCCTGTACGAGCAGAGCTCTAGGTGGCATCACTCATTGCTTCCGCCCACGCTCCTTAAGCTTCTCTCTCCACCGGCCTCTCATAACACGCAAGAGTGCCCATGCCAAAAGGCGATATACAACGATGCAGCCAGCCAAAGCAGCCACATTTATCACCGGGTCTTCGGTGAATTTGTAAAGGTCAAGAACATCCTGGCCAGTCTCGATAGGACAAGAACCATCCTGCAGACGCTGGCTGTCGTTGCAAGTGAATGTTACTCCCCGCAGGGAATAAGGCGCCACGGCGCGAAGGCCGTATCGGATGGGGGAAAGGTAATTGAAGTAGACAAAGAGCTTGGGCATATCGATTGACAAGACTCCACCCATGGTGTTCGCAACAGAGAGAAGAATTCCCATGACGTTGACCGCAAATCCTGTGTGAGGGAAGAGGGTGTTGAACATGATACCCAGACTTTCACCGCAGGACACAATTCCAAAGCACGCAAACACGCTGACAAAATACATTGTGACAGTGCGTGGAAGGCCCACAGCAATGACCCCGAGCACACCAAATATCAAGCAGCTCAAGATCTCGAACGGAACTTCAAGAACTGTATACGATAGGATGAACGACTCGATACCGTACACTCCGTCATCATCCTCTCGGTAGAAGACGTCTCGTTCGTTGGGGTAGATTGCCACATTCTGTAGCATACCCACGAAATAAAATGCGCCAATTTCTTGTACAAAACCCATTCGGTTCTGCACGGAGAAGTAGTCACTGTGGACTGGTGCAAAAAACAGAGCCAGGATGAGCGCAAGGCCGACAACCTGCATCACACGAGCAAGAATCAATTCGGGCTGCCGCCGTGTATTGATAATGGCTCGATGGAGTAGGAGAGGGAACGCTGTAGCAAGGGAGGCACGTTTGCGTACGAGGGAACCAAGTTCGGCAGGAGTTGATAGATTCGTTTTGTTGAACGATTTCCGAGTAGGCGACGCATAGGATGGTCGGGTCACAATGGCGGGATCCTTCTCATCAGACTGGCTTGAGGTAGCCTGACCATTGACCTCGGTAGCCTCATGAACAACGTCCAATTTGGGTTGAGGCACGGCGTTCTTTTCGCTCTTAATGACCTGAGCTCCATCATTGGAACCCCTAGCCTCCCATGCCTCGATCAACTTGTTTACCCTCTCCCTAGTTTCTGCCTCTTGTTGATCATGCTGGAGATCGATAGTGATCATGTCAAGAGCAAAGTCCGCTGGATTCGTGTGCTGAGGACATTCATATCCTTGTTGCTTGAAGTATCGCAGCATGTCTCCGGCTGCGCCAGAATAGGCTGGTGAACCACCGCGCGCGAGTAAAAGCACATTTCCAAAGTGTTTAAAGAGGTCTGAGCGGGCTTGATGGATGGTTAGAATCAATGTCCGACCTTCCTTGGCCAGCCCGTTGAGAACCTCCATGATTGAATTTGCCGTGAAAGCATCAAGACCAGACGTGGGTTCGTCAAGAAGTAAAACACGAGGATCGGTTAAGATCTGGATGGCGATCGACACGCGGCGTTTTTCTCCACCAGATATCCCCTTGATCATATCACTCCCAACTAGGTTATCTGCGCAATCTTTCAATCCCATTTTTAGGAGGACATCCTCGGCTCTCTGATACTTCTCCCTCTTGCTCATGAAGGAGGGGAGCCGCAAGCCAGCAGCGAATCGAAGTGTCTCACGTACTGTCAGCGATGGTAACAAAGCGTCATCATCCTGACAAACGTAGGAGCAGATGGAACGGAGGACAGAATCGGAAGGTACTGCACCATTCAGTGTCAGTTTTCCAGAAGGTCGGTATCTCGTACCAAACGAATTGCGTAGCCTCAGGGCCATAGTGTTGAGGAGCGAGGTCTTGCCGCTGCCGGAAGGCCCCATGATGACGTTCAGAACTCCAGCCTGGAATGAAGCATTCAGGGGATTGAGCACGGTCTTCCGCGGGAGCCACTTTCCCATTCCTGACCTTTTATCCAATGCCAAAGCAAAGTCTTCGAGTTCAACGTCGATCGACCTAACATCACCTTCCGAGCTTCGGCTCAGTTTCTCTTTTCCTGCCGATAAATCGGTATCCGAAGTTCGCGATCGAGCAATGGTCATTTCGACCTTGAAAAAGTGAAGACCAACGGTGGACAGTGCGATGAAGAATACGACGAAGGAGGCAGAGATGACAATTGGTCTCCAAACCCAGTTGGGTGGAAAACCGAGAGATTCCATGATAAAGCTCCCCGTGTACTGCCGACATGCAGGGTTGGACTCCCCGCCTTCCACTGGACAGTCATAGAAACTGCCCTCAAACTCATTTCCAGCATAAGCGCTGAAGATGAAGAACTACTCAGGTTAGTTTTTGCCGATTCTTTTCCCAAATCATAAAGCCATGAAGATATTAGGAAAGAGAGGGCTTCTTACAGTGTATGTTATCCATTTCAACCATCTCACGTAGACGGGAATCGTTTCGCTCTGAATGAACATACCACATGCCATACTTTGCAAAGTATAGACCAAGTTTGCGATCAAACTGGCCCCAGCAAAATGCCTGACCGCCGCAACACAAGTGACGGCGCAGGTCACAGCTACATAATGATTGATGAGAGTGACAGCGAAGAAGATGAAAAATTTGTGTGCCTCGCGATCAAAACCAGCCATGAAGTACAATATTGTGGAATAGAGAAATGGAACGGGAAAATCCTCAGTGGGTAGCCTGGCTAGACGACGTGACAAGATGAATGGTAGTGCATCAACACAGTTCTCGGATGACTCGCGGTCGAAGACTGGCATGTCGATTGTCACACGATAAATCTCAAAGATGAGAATTAAATACCCTTGAAGTCCAGCTGCGGTGTAGAGAGCTCCCTGGCGGGAGCGAATTCCAGCTTGGTCGCGAGCGAGATTGTAGAATAGGTAACCACACGTGATGCCCATGAATATGGCTTCCATGATGGAAGCGGTCATTCCAAGCGGGTCACGGTATGTAACCTTTAATGTCCGTTCCGTGAGAACGCGAACCTGTTGAAAAAACGAGGCATGCTGAGAGGCCGACTCTCCTCCGCTCGGATGCCCTGCATGCGTCTCCTTTGCAGCAGGAATGAAACGCCGTTCGCTTTCGCGGGTCCATCCGTCCTTCAGTCTCTGAACCCGAGAGGAACTCTCTTCTTCTAATTCCGGGGATCGATTGTCAATTGCAGCGAGGTCAATGACAAATTCTGCGGGATTCACAAAGGGAGGGATTTCATATCCTAGGTCTTGAAACCATGGGAGGCAGTCGGAGATGGACCCCGAATATACAGGGCTTCCCCTGGAGAGCACAACAAGATTGTCAAAAAGGTCCCAAATTTCAGAGCGAGGCTGGTGAATTGTCGTGATGACGGTGCGCCCTTTGTATGCAAGCCTCTTGAGTGTGCGGATAAGTTGAAAAGCGCTTGTCGCGTCGAGGCCAGTGGTAGGTTCGTCCAGAAAAAGCACAGAAGGGTTTGCCAGCATCTGAACACCAATACTAACACGCCGCTTCTCACCCCCTGAGCATCCTCTATGCTGGCTGTTGCCAATTCGTGTGTCCGCGCATTCCTTCAAGCCTAGTTCTCGGATCACTTCATCAACAATCCGAGCCCGGTCTACAGCTGGAGTTGCCGAGGGTAACCGCAAGTCCGCGGCGTATTTTAATGTTTCACGAACGGTAAGTGTTGGTAACAAGATGTCCTGCTGCATGACATAGGCGTGTCTTACGGAATGCACATCCTCTGAACCGTTGAAAGTCGTGAAACCCTCCTGAGTCAGCCGTGAACTTACAACTCTATCTGCCAAACAGTTCAGGAGTGTGGTTTTGCCAGATCCACTACCACCGATAATTGCGGTCAAGGTTCCCGGGGCCAAATCCGCATTGACCGAGTGCAGGAGCTTCTTGATGCGCGGAGAAGTGTTGAGCTTGGTGGCGAAAAGTTCTGGATAGGTCGCTGGCTCAAGCCAGGACGGTGCTGTGTCAACTGCGATAGCCAGGTCGCGAATCTTGATGTCGACAGGTTGGACATCCTCGAGTGAAAGGTTCCCTCCGCCAGATAGAGAAATCTGGCGATTGGCCAGAGGGCCGTGATCTACTGATGGGGCCTCCATGGAGCTCTCTCGCTCAATTTTCAGGTGGTCGCTAATCACATCACCGTCGCTAACATCCTTCAAGTCATTGCTCATTGCCGCGGTCGTCTACAATCGAGAGGTTGCCGTCGTAGCGCAAAAATCGCAGGGGGTAACTCAGTTGACAGGTTCGGTACTGTCAGGCTCAATCGAAGCTATCTCGACATTTTGTCTCGCGATGTTCTCTCTTTTCTCCTGGATCGATCGTTGTCGGGATAATCAAATCAAATAAAAAGAAAGACTTTGGTGCTGTCGCAAGGCTTCTACTATGTCATACTCCCACAGAAGAAATCACCAGAAAAGCATTAGGGATCAGATCACCGTCACGACCGTGGCATACCAAAGAATAAATATTGGCCGAACTGGTTGAATGGGGGCGGCCGGGGGGCTCCTTAAAAAGGCCTGGAGCTAATCTCCAATCCGCCTGCGAACCGAGGTGGATCCTCGCTCAGTAGAGTGGGGTGGCAATCACGATTGTACCACGGATAGCAAAACTCCCGTGGCTCCTGCTCCACCGACCAATGAATTAATTCCCTAATTCAACCATCGTACCTGCTTCAATCACCGCTAAGTACTGGCAGGCGGTGGCAGGAGGCAGATGTACTTGGTCTTGGCCTCACAACCATGTAAGAAGCGGAAGGAACTGTCTACGCCTCCGCCCAACAGAGGTTTCACTGCGCCGATGCGCAATTTACGCTCAATGTCTTATGGCGCACATATAACCGGAATTTACTGTTGACTGAACACCACCTCAGCATCACCAGGACCAATAATAACACTGCGCCTCTAAACCTACCTGAGAGATGAAATCCTGCCACAGAACATGGCCAGGCTGAGGATGGGGGCCCTGTATTCCTCACTTCTACGAGTATGGCAGTGATACGCGTATTGGCCCTCCCGACACGAGCAACATGCTGGTCGCGCACGGACATGAGGCACAGCGACCGGGGTCCCTCACAAGGCTTGGCAGCCTAGCAGATTGAGGGTGGCCAAATGAAAGGAGCAAGGTATGTATAGGTGCAGGTGAAATGTTATTAGGATAGGGATGATTGCCCAGAGTTCTACGAAACTGGCATCACAGTCTAACATTATTGCCAGATATATTGTATGGCTTAAGAATCCAGCATCGCTACGCGCTGTGGAAGGTGTCTGGTCAGCTCAACTGGGTGGTGGGCACGGACGAAAAACCGCCCGTCAAAGAGGGAGCCTTAATTGATGAATGCCCATCATCCATGGTGTGGTGTAGCTGTTCCCCGGATCCATTTTATTGGTTGTTGACACCGGGAGAGGCGCCACACGAAGGACGGTTAAACCGAGACAAGCCTGACAAGCGTGTCATCCATTCCAGGAAACGACCAGGTCGGCCGCCCGAGAACCCTAGGACCCGTATCGAGACATGTGAATTGATGACCTGCTCTCTATGACCTAGGCCCAGCATTCCCAGTCCCCTCTCCAAATACGTGTATGTGACGAGACCATAGCCAAGGTAGCGAGTCCAAGTTGAGCCACCAGTGACCACCCAAGAGTCATTAATTCTGTGCCACATCCATTTTCAAGATGGGACGTACTCATCCACCCTCACCAAGTTCAATGGAGAAAGAACTTCTGAAACGATAATTTAAAAAAAGAAAATTAAAGAAAAAGAAAAATAAACTTGCAGCCGCTCTTGAAGCCGCAGAATACCCCGCATTAGCCCCCAAGCGATAGCCCGCTACCTTATCGCCGGTGGGTGTCTCTAACAGCACCTCATATTGCCTGAAGCTGTGACAATAATGACGTCCCTGTCAAGTCAATCTTTGATCAAATTCTCTTAGTCATGACGGGATTCAGTCTGGGTCGAAAATAGCGATAAATTAATAGCATAGTTTCATTGTCAAATTCAATTCTATCATGTATTTCCCCAATGCCGTTTTGCTTTCTCCAAATGTAAACGCCCTAAAAATGCTCTGGTCGAACCTTCCACAGCGGCAAGGAGCTGTTTCTCCGGCCTCCGAGACATCGTCGCTTTCCCCTCATGACCACTACCCAACTCAAACGCGATCGAATTATCCAAATGCCCAAGTAAATTATCCAAAATGATCCTAGCCAAAACACGCTCTCTATCATGACCTTAAGCAAATCGCTTTTCTGTGATGCTCTCGCCCAGCGGGCCCGCGCAGATGAACCCGTCACCCTTGGCGCCCAGGTCAAAGACTTTCTGGCCCCTCAGCCAGGTCTCTCGGACCCTACCGACGAACTTGTGGCCTTCCCATGGCGAGCAGCGGTTCTTCCACCGCATGTCGCCTTGGAGGAAGGTCCATGTCTCGTTCTCGTCAAATACGCAAATGTCGGCGTCCAAGCCTTCGCGCAGCCCACCCTTGCGATGCGATAGGCCGACCTGTGCCGCAGTAGCCTGACTGCACAGGCGAACCACATCAACAATCGAGGGTGCGGGAAGAGAGCGCTCGAGACGAGAGTGGGATTTTGTATGAAGAATCGGCAACCCAAGGCCAACGGATGAGATACCACCCCAAGCCGCGAAGAAATCTCCCCGGGACTCGAGTTGCTTCGCTGCCTGCTGGATTTCTTCCTCTGGCAGGGTGACATCGATACCGGAGTCTGAGTGCGAGACTGCTGGGCGGAGCAAGGCGGGTCGGTCAAGATGACCAGGCAGGAGTTTCAGCTCAGGTGTGCATGGTGAGTGATCTGAGACCACAGTCCGGATGCAGGATCCTTCTGACGTGAGCTCTTCCCACAGGCCGTCCCGATTCTTCTCCTCGCGGATAGGTGGGCAGCACTTGTGCCTTGTGTCGCCCTTCTCAATCTCCTCAGCTGAGAGACCAAGGTAGTGGAAGCATGTCTCAGCGGTGACCTTGATACCCTTGGCACGGGCCGCGCGTAGGATCGGGATACACTCGGTGGCTGAAAGGTGTACAATGTGCAACTGCAGCTCGGGGGCGATGTGGGCCAGAGAGAGGATCTCTTCGACGGCGTACGTCTCGAATGCGGGAGGGCGAGATTCCAAGAAGGTGTTATAAGCGGAAAGCTCTCCGTGAGGCTTTAAGGGTGGCTCCGAGGCCTGAACAGCGTCTCCGACCGAATCGGTAATAGGCGGGATCATCTCCGCGTGGAACATGAGGGTGGTGGGAGACTCCTTCAGCTCTTCCATGGCAAGCGCTACGTCTTTTGAAGAGATGGCGGGGAACTCGTCGACCTGATTGACTACTCGTTAGCACGCTCACGTTCAATTATTCGGAATCGCAAATGAACCTACGCCGGATTCGATGAGAAAACCCTTGAAACCGCGCACACCGGCCTCCACGAGAGGTTTCAATTCGTTGGCATTTCCAGGGATCACGCCCCCATAGAACCCGACATCAACCCAGCATTGGCCACGACTGGCAGCGAGCTTCTCTTCGAACCCCTTGACTGTGGTAGTGGGTGGGATCGCATTGAGTGGCATATCAACTACGGTTGTGACGCCTCCGCTGGCTGCGGCCCGGGTACCAGTCCAGAAACCCTCCCACTCGGTCCTGCCCGGCTCGTTGAGGTGTACATGGGCATCAACGAGGCCGGGCAGCAGAATGCGGGGGGAATAGTCGATGTATGCGGTTGTTTCTGGGAAGCTTGAGGCGTCACGAATGGTGGGCTCGACGGAAATGATCTTCCCTGAAGTGGGAGAGATGGTAATCGTGGCCGGAGTAAGGAGGAGTGAGTCGTCTGGGAGGGTGATGACGGCGCGGGACGAAACCAGGACCACGAGGGGTCCCGCGTCTAAAGAGCCTTGGACAGTCATGCTGGCTCGCCGATTCTGAGTTGAGTCGAGAGGTGGGATGGGAGTAGGGGGTTATGGGAGGTCTACTCAGGTTCTCAACTACGGCTCAAGAAGAGAGAGAAGGGATCACAGGAACGAGTGGGAGCTACATGCTTCTTTTACTTGGCCGGGTTCCCCGCGGAAAAGGGAGTCTGGGCATGACTGCCGCCTGCCTGCTTTTCTTTGCACACGGACGGGTCTTTGCGGCATTCTGCCACCTTATCCCTTATCAGTGTGCGACTGAATAGAGCAAGGCCCCATTCGCGAACTTCGCCGATGGTGGGGCACTACGAGATAAGGAATAGCCGTGACCACTTTGGGTATCGCACCTCGCCCTCCTCAATGATCCCCTGATCCCTTGGCTTCGAAACCAGTTTCTATTACTCGAAAGATACCTAATCAAAAGGCGAATGGACCCCCGGTTATTGTCAGACGACCCTGGCCCCCCGAGATGTGATCCTGGAACCTGGGGTAGCAGCGGTGGCTTGCTTGTCTGTCTCCTCCTCCTGCCACCTCTTATCTTGTTGCGGGGTGAATCGTTATCTTTCGCCGCCTCAGAAACGATCCGTCGGTCATGGGCTTATCAGTTCCGTTATCAGTGACTGATGATCTCGGGATTTAGATTCGCGACACCGACTGGTCCAGCCACGGAAGGTAAAACAACGGACAATGCGTTCCTGAAGGAGAAAAACTCAACACGAGGCCAGTCATTCATTAGCCTTTGTCATCTGGCAACAGACGGGGTCTAACCTATTCGGATAAGAAGGCACCAACAAAGCGCCGTCTCCACTTACACGCCAACATGAGCCCTGCCCTATCATATTGCTGCAACAAGGACGCTTTTGGTCAATTCCATCGAGTAACGCCAGGATATCAAATAATCTTCGAGTAACTCTAACCGACGCCATTCGCAGGATGCCCGGCCCGGGACTGGCGATGCGGCATCGCCATCCTTTCTGGCTCCACCATGGGATTAAATTACTCTCTCTCCTTCTCTTTTCTCTCTGGCTAGCTGGAGCAACACCGGCCGGCTCCGGTCGTGCATTCTCTCCAAGAGTCCAAACCTCGGGATTCTTGTACGTAAAATCTCTCTAGCCCTAGTGCACCGCCCGTTGCATATCGACCTGGTCGCGTGGCTTGAACCTCTGCTGACCCCGTCTGCCCGAGGTCGTAAAGGCGGTAAGATCGGGTTGGCTCTAGGGGTCTAGACGTGGTCTTCTTGCAATACCGCTATCATAGCTCTCATGTGTCCCGTGTCAAGTAACAATTCACTCAGCAGCCTCATCTCGTATTCATGCTTCCAAGCAATAGTAGTCACAACCACGAAAGTGGTGCGTAGTTTACAGCATAGCCGGACATGCGTTCAATAGTGACGGGCACCAAAAACGGAAGTTTAAAGGGGAATGATTCCACGCCTGTTGGTCTATATAGTAATAGTAGATATGCCAAATGCACAAAGCAGGTCCCCGTCATTGCCGCAAATCATGACATGTATCCTCTTGTCGGAACCCCGTTTCATAAATCAACAAGCTCCGGACCTTACCTCCCTTCTAGGTTCAAAAAATGCAACAATAACGTTATTTTTACATGTAATACACAGTGGTTTTTAAATGTGTTGGAGGAGAGGATGAGGTGCTGTGCGGGTAAGAGTTACCCAAAAAGTAGAGAGCCTACTTGTTCCGCTTAATCGTCTTGTGAGCCATCTCCATCAGACCGTCCTTGGCCTCGCTCTCAGGGAAGTGGGCAATGGCACTCATGGCCTTCTCTGAGTACTCCTGCGCCAGGGCGCGGGTCTGCTCGACACCATCACTCTGAAGAACTAATTCGCGAGCCTATAAGAGGGGGTTTTATGTTAGCAAATGCTGTTCTCGAATCAATGCAACAGTGCGAGGTGCGCATATGCAAGCACTGATAGGTCAACTCCACTTGATTGGTAACTCACTCTTTGGACGTCCCCTTCCTGCTCAAACTTGCGCCCAACCAGTGCTCCGAGCTCGGGCATCTGCTTCCACGCAAACAGGAGCGGCGCGGTGGCCAATCCGAGCTCGAGGTCGGCCCCCGCAGGCTTGCCCAGCTCGGCGCCCGAGCGCGTGTAATCCAGCATGTCGTCCACCAGCTGGAACGCGAGCCCCAGGTTCCGGCCGTACGAGTAGGCGGCGTCGACGGTGGCGGCGTCGGAGCCGCCGAGGAGGGCGGATGCGCGGCAGCTCTTGGAGATGAGGGACGCCGTCTTGAGGTACGTCTTCTGGAGGTAGTACTGCAGGGTCTCCTCCGAGTACTTGGGGGAGCGCTCGTCGCGCTCGGTGTTCTTCAGCTGCATGAACTCGCCCTCGACGAGGTTGGCGATGACGGTGGCGAGGAGCTCGACGACCTCGGCGTTGCGGAGGCGGGCGAGGGCGACGGAGGCGCGGCCGAGGAGGAAGTCCCCGGCGAGGACGGCCATCTTGTTGCCGAATTCGAGGTTGGCGCTGGGGGAGCCTCGGCGGGAGACGGAGTGGTCGATAACGTCATCGTGGAGCAGGGAGGCTGTATGGATCAGCTCTGTGATCTCGGCGAGTCGTCTTTGGCTGGGTAGGATGTCTGGATTCCCCTCCTCGGGCATCTCTTTCGCGTCGTACGCTGTGAGGGGGTTGGCAGAGGGGTTGACGTCTGCCAGGATCTGGATGGGCGATATCGAAGTGTCGATGCCCCTCGAGGTCTGGGGGTTCTCGAGTGTGGCGGCCTTGGGGCACAGGTGTGTAGCGCGGCTCATGAGCAAGACTATCAGAGGTCGGACGTGCTTGCCCTCAGCCTGGGTGTAGTATTTCGCGACTCGGTCGAGCGAGGGGTGGCCTGATCCCAGTAGCTTGCGGATGTTGCCTGTGAGGAACTTCATCTCCTTGGCGACCGTACGGAGGGGGTCGACGGTCATCCCCTTGTCCTTGGCAGCCTGCTTGACCACGCTTCCGACCACATTCGAGGCGACCTGGACGGCGGCGGCCCATGCTGAGTCGCGCCGGTTGGATGAATGTAAGCCTCGGCGCTGGCTCAAGAACGGCGTTCTCCTCGCTGCAGCGGGAGCTCGGACGATGTGGGCGGGTTGTTTGCAGAGCTGGCATGTTACCACGGCGGATTTTGTGGCTGCCGCGGCATCGAGTAGTACTGTAGCTCCCGGCCGGAGCTGCATTGTCGACAACATGCCTCGTGAGAGGGCTTTTTGGGGCACACGAGTGATGATGTATGTATTAGACTAGACCGTCGAGAAAAAATATCGTATGGGTCCGGGTCGCGGAGCCAGGGTCGGAATTGGATGTCAGACAAGCACCAGGCAGAACAAGAGAGTGACGAAAATCGGGAAAAGTCAAAGTAGCCGTCCGAATCGCATCGTATCATACAGTTAAGTTAGAATTCAAAGCTCAATTGTCGCTGCTTGGGCAGTCTGGTGTCTGCTGCTGCATCGAGTCAACTTTTCCAATTGGCGCTAGACACACGGTTCAAGCCGGAAAGGTCGACAGGGGTCCACCTAGCTCTGTGCTTTCTTTCCCCATTGGTCAGTGATCAGAGCTCCCGATGATTGATGAGCACGGGCTGATTTGCGTGTGGCAGCAGCTTCGCTGTAGGCAGCAGGCATCAAAGAGAAGTGTCTGTCGCTCGGGGTCGATTCCCGCCATCGTCATCCTCTTTTATCGCAACTCACATCGCACACACAACAGGCGCAGAAGCAGACACCTCAAGCATGGTTCTCCTCACAATGACGTCCTCCGTTGTAGAGGGTTTAAAACGGGCGCAGGCAAACGAGACCAGCCAGCCAGCCGACGATACCGAGCCTTCATTGATCGAGCCAGAAATTGGCAAGCCTATCGCCCATCGCCAAATCATCCAGCTCAGCCGCAGTCTCCGACAATCAGAAGATTCATCCGACTTTACGTTAGAGAAGCTATTACGCGGATCTGAGGTCTACACTCCTCCCCCGCCTCTCAAACCTCAGCCAGTATGTCTCTCCATCCGTAGTCGGGCCAGCTACCATCAACCACTTGCTTGTCTCTTATTTTACTAACACGTGCCACTAGACTCCGGAATTCAAGGCATTGATGGCACGTCTACGACACGAAGAAGAAGAACGATCTTACCAACGCATGGTGAACGCCTCCGACAGCCGAGAATCCTTCCACGATCGCTTCCCCCATTCCTCCCGTCGAGCATTCGCCTCTGTGAACCAACCAGCTTCAAAGGCCGATTTGGGCGACGATGATGTGACCTACGAAGAAGTACACCGCCAAGTCATGCTCATCATCAACTTTGTTGTGAGCATTCTGGGCGTGGCCGGAACCCTGTGGGTTGTCGCCCGATGGTGGAGTACGACAGCCAGGTTGCTGTTGACAATGAGCGGCAGCATCGTGGTAGCCATTGCGGAGGTGGCGGTATACCTAATATACGTAATGAAGATGGGAGATGCAAAGAAGAAGCAGGGCGCCATCAAAGAAGTCAAGGAAGTAGTGGAGACATGGGTTGTCGGCAAAGACGGCCAAGAGGAGCATGACGATAAATCAGTGCTGTTACAAGAGAATGAAAACGACCCAGACGGCGTGAGAAAAAGAAAGACGGTCAAGAAGGACGATAGCTAAACGAGGGTTTGGCACATTAATAAATCCATGGTAGCACGAATTCTAGCGGCGACTTGTATGTGGAACTCACGGAAGCGCAGTCGTATATTGCAGCTCACGTTTCCCGTTACATTTGCAGCATGCATACACATGTATTGACGATCTTGCTCTTTCGCTCTTCATTGTCCTAAATATTGGAACATGTGACGGCGCGTAGAGCCGGCGAGTCAAGGCGCGTCAAACGCGTCTTCCAAGTGGGGCAAGATACGTGCTTCCATCTAATCCATGGCATATCATCCCATGCCCAAAAGCATCCGTCCAAGGTTTCTCGATAAACATGTAAATTGAGTTCAAGAGCATTCTTATCCTGTTATTTTCGCGTGTTTTAATCCTCAATGCTTGTATTTTAATGATACCCAAATCATTTATATTCTCTCTGCCTAATTTCGCAAATCTTCCACACAAAGCGCGACCCAAGACCCAAGACAAAGTCACCGTCAAACTCACATCTTTTGTTATGCTGGAGATCGAACAGTATGCCACAATGAACACTACAACACCAGATTACGCGATGTAAGTCTAATTACTCTCCTCGCTACTCGCATTCCTCGCTGACAAGGTTGGAAAGAACCAAACCCGGGATGCCTCCCAAGCACCGAAAACTCGTCCGCACATACGGGCGCCGGACCCCCTCTGCAGCCCCAGAGGCGCGCAGCGAGCCACCGACCAAGAGAAGAAGGACTTCACAGGATGATCAAAATACAAATGTTGTCGGATTGCCAGAAAAGAACTCGGAGAGCTCACCTGAAGCCGAACACGAAGAAGAGCCGAGCGCAGATCGAGATGGCCCCGATCCAGAAGAAGAACTCGATGACAAGGAAAAGCCAAAGTCGTCAATCCTCAGTTATTTCCAGCCAGTCAAGGCAGTCGCGGGCGATTTACCCTCGAAGAACCGAACATCTCCGTCGAGTCCGCCCAGCCCACCGACGTCACCTCCTGCTGTGCGAGTCAAAAGAAAAAGGGCGCCGCGCCTATTGAAATTAAGACCAGTAACACAGGCATCGATAGAAGAATCAGGCGAGGACGAAGAGCCGGGAGAATCTCCCTCAACCTCTTTAGACGACTTAGAGGAGAGTATCAGAACGCACAATACGACCCGGGTAGTAAAAACACATGTTGGATCAGGATTATGTCGTACCGGGTCACCGGCAGAGAGCGATACAACCTCTGAGGCGAGTTCCGTGTCCAGGTTAAAGCCAGCGCACAAGTCTTTGGTCCAAACGACGCTCAACATATCGTCAAAGGCCCCCTTTTCGGAATGCAGTCTGTGCAATATTGTATGGAATCCTTTCTTCCCTGACGATGTTAAATTTCACAAGAATCGGCATACGGCAATGCTTCGCGTGCGCAAGAGAAAGGAGGAAAGCTTAATATAGTCTAATGTCCAAATATACGATGTACATGTCATTCATATCATATCGTCTCATGATTCAGTAGATGTAACCTGCGGCCAGCTAAACCCCGACAGCCAAACATTCGATACGTGCAGAGCTCCGATCTCTAAATGAGCTGAGAGGGTATCTTGCAAGTTGCATTGAAGAAAGGAAGGCATTTTGTCCGTTCACGTATACCTACCCTAGATAGCTCGAGTGTTTACCTCAACACAGACCGAAACGCCGATAAATCTTGAACTTGAGTCTCTAGGAGGAGATCCGAGACTCTGAAACTCACAGTTATTACAACAGATGGCTTTTTTTTGCAATTTTGGGAATAGAAACACTGCAAAGTCTGTGGCAATGTCATTATTTCGTACCATACAAATGGCTGTTCTCAGTAAATTATCAAACCATTGATATTCTTACTTTCGCTGGCTATGAATCCAAAGCTACCAAATTCAATTCTTATCCAATAAAATGTTTGGTAAGAAAACACAGGCTTTGAACTCGCGTCTCTGTCCTAGGCAACTTGGATTGTTGCTCATATGCGGCCAGTCAGAAGCTTAGCCTCCATCAATATCGTTGTCTTCAAAGTATCCTTCTCCCTCGGGAGCCTCTCAAAATAATTATCGACCCCTATAAGTTTTTCAATAAGAAGATCTAATTCTATGTCGTCTGCAGCCTCGAACGATGGCGAAATTGACCCGGCCAGATCCAAGGCCGAGATCGGATCGATGGTGGGCAGATATGGGATGTACATCCACTGCTGCAGGCAGACAGACCGGTACTGGGAATAGATCGATTCATCGGGAGAATCGTATAGCGCGCCAAGATCGTACAGGATCCTTAGATATCTCATACGAAGAGATAGACCGGCAATGAACTGCCGAGCCACGAAAATGGACTCGAATCCATATCTGTATCCAATGAAGAACCCCGGATCGGAAATCTTTCTGATTGAGTTAACGTCTGTTGCCGTATCTATCGACTTGGTAATCAAGTTGGCCAGCTTGATGTGCTGCTTTGAAATATCATCATAAAGGGAATCCCTCGTTTCTCTCATCTCGTCGGGATTGGCTCGAATTCGTCTGATATCCTGGATCCATCCTGAAAGACTGGCCAGGGACTCGTCGTAAACTACTGGGTCCACCCAAAGGTAGCTATGGTTATTCTTGGCCAACTTCTTCTGTCCGAAGTCTTGAAGAATTTCCTTCCAAGGTGATTCAGTGACGTAGGTGTTTTGACCCTTGCCCGGTATCCTCGGTTGCTATTGTGCATGGGTTGTTAGCACTGATTCACAGGGACGGCAAATAAGAAGTAACATCTGGGGGCGATAGCTGGCATCTTACCATAATTCCAATGTACTCAAAGGCCAGAGCAAGGTCTAGATCGTCGTCTGGATTCGGCGTGCCCTTCTGTTGCAGAACATGCTGGATGCCACGGAAATGCCGTGTATTTTCAACAAGACCAATGCTGAAGAAATGCTTGACACGCTCCAACAGCGTCATGGCACACACCATCTCCGGGGTATACAGCTGATCACTATGTAGGGAGTCGCGCAGGCTGTGGATAGCCCTACTGTACTGTCGGGTCACGAGCAGCTTCTCAGCCGGCTGCCCGCAGCGGTACTGGCGCCATGCAAAGCAGAAGAGCGCCGTGCATTCTCGCAGGCAGAAGCTGTGGGTGAGGCGCTGGGGGATGTACGGCAGATACCTCATCTGGCTGCAAAAGACGCTGCTGGTATCCTGCCCAAGCAGGTCGACGAGCCGAGCACCAACGCGGTCAGCCGTGGTGGTGAACCTGGGGCGAGGGACCGCGAGGCGGAATGCACCATATGAGGCGTGCCCACCACCATAGGGCTTCAAAGGGCTCCGGTCTACCATGACCAGCGATTTGGCCTGGTCGGCTTGCTTCGTCCTGGCGGCAGACCGTACACGCGCGCCTGGCGGTGAGCTTCGTTGGCTACGGCCATTGTCAACGAACTTGAAGAGGGCAGAGGGGCCTGGGCAGGCCCTGTTGAGTTGTTTGCAACGCGAGCAAGTCGGCCACTTCTTGTCGCACTGGGATGTGTAAGTAAGAGTTCAATGTTCGGGTGATGCGATTGTCTGCTCATTGATGCTTACTTTGATACGCTTCTGTTTGCAGGCCTCGCAGCCGGTTGATCTGGGAGTCCCTGCCATTTACTGTTGCCTTTTCACTGCTCACTGCTAGAAGCTGCCGGAGCGCATGTAATTAGAGATCAATTCTTGGGTGATAAGGATAAGCGATTGAATCAGAGAAGATGATGGTTGGCAGAGTGGCTGTGCTGAATTTGATGCGAGATGCATGGGTCCCAGCATTACTCACAGCAAGGCGGCCGCAAGGCAGATGCAACATCACCTCCAACCAACATTTCTAAATTTCGTCGAGCCGCTGAGCAGCCAGCCTAAGAGAACAAGACCTAAGAGAACAAGACTAAAGAGTGAAAAAGGGCAATGTGTATAATACAATCAATATATTTAATTTATATCATTTTTTATTACTGATTTATTGTACCGTGTAGATAATGGTCTGCTCATGACTGTCCTTCAATTTGGGTCTCATTCTTCTGTCACCAAGTTGCCAGCCCGGCTTTCATGAAGGAACTTAGTTAAATATAATATTAGCAGTGAAAAAGGGAAAATCGACCACATTAAATACTCCCATTTTGCTTTCCACCTCGCCACCTGATAGTTGAGGTAAGCTGCTCTAAGAACGTAGACCGCCTCTCGGAGAGTCCTCAATCAGGTTCCCCTGTTGGTAATAATACTGTTCCCCAATCTCAGTTGATTGGTTGTCCTCGTCTTGATGTGACCAGTGGTTTATGCGAGGTGCCCCCCACCTCAGCTCTTGATATCTGTCGTCCGGTATCCATGCTGTTGACGTCTCTTCAGTGTCTTGGTACGGTCCATCTGTATTGAGGTACTCCGAAGGATGACTCTCTTGCTCTCCATAAGCGAAATCAGCAATTAAGACCCGTTGGCTCTGATGAGACTTGCTATGGCTATCTTCGTCTGGAGGTTGCTCAGAGTCCGACATCATTGGCGAAACCCGCTTGAGAAGGTCCTTCGTGTAAGCCGCCGCCGTCATTGCAGCGTAGCCTTGCCACTCCTTGTTCTTGTGGGAATCAGAATAATCGCAGATGCCTCGGATGACAAGACACGGGAAGTTGTTCATCAGCCCGGCTGCCTCCATTTCAAAACAGAGGACATCATGCTCCTCCGCGAGCGTGTCCCGAATAATTGCATCTTTCATCAATGTGTCTCCAGATGCAATGAGCCCGCAGTGAATCGCAGGGTTGTCCTCTTGTTCGCTCCGCGGCCGCCGAGGAATAAGGTAGTCTGACGAACAGCCGTCGGCGCAGGCAAGCTTGCCGCGGTGGCTATATTCACTTACATATAGCCTGTCAGAGCTCCAGGAAGGCTTCGAGTACTTTCGGCCCAACCTAGGGTTGTGGATCAACGCGGTACCAATGGAGTTTCTGAGCCTGTGCCCCTTCCTCTCGTATGATGCTTCAAGGCCTGCCACAGCCGTCCGTAGAACAGTGGGCGGCTGGTTCATAAATCCCGTGTGATGGAAGCGCTGGTCCTGAACAGATTTGCCAAAGTCGTATTGGAAAACACCACTGTTGCCTCTCGACGGGCTGCTCACCACCACATCCCCAAGACGGATGTCGTGCCGGGCACTTGGGACGCCGCCGCCGATGCCCACCATCAGCACAACCTGAATATTTGGGAAGCTGTGCAGCATGTGGCTCATGACGGCGGCCGCGGACGATTTGCCATACTCTCCGTTAGGTAAAACAGCTATGATGACGTTGTGCTTTCCCATGCGTCCTAGGGTATAGTCGTTGGGGTCGTGATGAGACCGACGCGATGAGGTGTCGTGTTCCTCATCGAGAAAGGCTTGAGCGGCGACATATTCGGTCTTGATGGCGCAGATCCATCCCACTGTATACTTTGAGGACTTCATTCTATCTCATCAGACACTTCCAACAGGTGCTATGTGATCATTTATCTCCCCCAGCTAGATCTTGGGGATGGGCAAATATTTACGGGGGAGGAGCGAGGGCTGGTCCTGTGACCGACTTGGGCTGATGGTAAGGAGGGGGCTCAGCTGAGAAGTATTGGCACAAGTCGGCACACTCGGCTACAGCCGATGCTCCTGTCTTGTCTGCTTACATAGATATCCTCTGAGGTTGTCTCCCGGCACCATTGTGCACAAAAGTGCAATATTGGGCAGGATTCATGGCCTAGCGGCTGCACGTCGCCTCGCTAACATGTCTGCTCACATGACCTCTAGGCAGACCAGACTTGAGCAGTTTGTCCTTCAATTTACCCCCAGCTTATCTTATTTGTCAAAGCAATACGTATATTGCCAAGGCATACCCTTCTTCGCGCTTGGTCCGATTGATTCAACAACGGTGGCCAAGGTAAGGTGAGGCAGGGGAACTGTCGAAATAAAGACAACTCGAATAGAATCCGAGAACCGGAAACATTCACGGAGAGTGTCAGAACCATAAGGCTAATACTGCCAAGTCTCGTATGTCAGGTAAAGGCCAGGCTCACATCAGCCCCGAGAAGTTGGCTAAGATAATCGAGGCGTTAGGTAGGTTATGTGCGCTTAATCTGGCATTGCTGAGAACAAAACCCATAACCAAGTCAGAACAGGGCGTGTTGCCATGCTAGTTGGCATTCAGCGTTAATTTGCCTGGCCGTCATGATATGTAGAATGTCGAGCCCGCAATAGTAAATGTTATTCGTTGGCTCCAGGTCCGCCTGGCACAGAGATAAGCCGCTAGATGGAGAGCCCATGGGGATAGAAAGAATCATATGCTGAGACTGAAGGAAAGTAAATGGTTGGCAAGGAAGGGCAAATTAGGCATGAGGCTTTGCACCTATGCTGTGCATCACGTGAGAGCAGAAAGCTCCTTCCAGCTGTGTGGACAAGCAATCATCACATGAAAATGATATTGACCGCAAGCTATGCTTTCCATCTACTCAGTTAACGAACCAGGTCTACAAACCCAGGTTATTTACCCACAACGTATGATGCCGCCTGCAACCGACCGCCCGCAGCGCTTGGACGAACGCCGTTGGTTGGTGTGCGGGACACGGAAAACACGGCCACCCAGCCATTGACGGCCTGTTTCAGACTTTCAGCCACCACGTTTGTGCAGCGCCAATTGGGTTTGGTTGGCTTGCCGCCTCCCAGGCAATCAAGCAAGCAGGGACAGGAGAAAAAAAAGCAATGACAGGCCAGCGGGCGGCGCCATGGGAGGGGCAAAAAGAGGATCGGTGTGCCGTGCCGTGAGATGCCTCTTGGCAAGCATAGACCTGGCTGACGCGTCCATTCCTGCTGACGACCGCAAATCTTATCCGTTGCACAGAGAGCGGTGGAAAAAGACCAGAACCTCTCTCTGTCCTTGGTTTCGAGACGTAGAAACCCACTCCCCGGCCAGTCTTGCTCCCCCAGCCCGGATCACCCCTCACGGTAGGGCTGAAGCTGTGGTGTGCCTTTCGTTCTCCTTCCTTTCTTCCTCCCGGAGGCAGATCAGATCGGCCCCACACACATCGCCTGTGATTTCAGATTCCGCATTCCTATTCCTCCTCTGTCTGCTCAATTCAGCGCCATTGGCCTTTTGGCGAGAGCGGTTTATCATCTTGAGTCGGCCTGGGCAACACGGCTTTGTTTCTGGTGCTGGTCTGGGATACGCTTGGTCCGTGATTGGCTCCATCCGCTCGGCAAGATGATGAGGCACGGGCCCGGCACCTTGACTCCTGCCGGAGCTCCTCATCCTTCCAACGACAAGTATGTCATTGTCTATGACACGGAGAAAGTTGGTGAGTCGGTCACATTGTCCTCCATTGCTCCTCCGTCGTTGGCCCCCCATACTAAGTGGATTAGATACCGAAAGGGCGCAGAGAGACCTGACGAATTTGCTCACTGATTTGGAGACTGCCGGCTTATATACCGAGGTCAGGCCTGGCTACGACATGACAATTCTGATTTTCGCCAAAGCCCCCAGGGAATTGCTTGGCAACGCTGTGTACAAGTCAAGGTATGTCGGGTCTTCACATCTTGATTTGTTCATCTCTTTGGTCTCCTTTCGTCGCTCACATGGGTAAAGAGTCAAGGACTGGCTATTTGGCATCATCACTCGACATCCCGGTGGCAACAAAGACACCATTGTTGATGGCGCGTACGAAGCCGAGGATATCCTTTCCGTCTATCACCTCGTCAGCTGGCCCAAATCTCTTGGTGGTGCTGGCATCACCCCCGAATGGGGCCAGTGGGAGCATGTCAAGTCCATTTTCCCGCTCCATAATGAGGCAAAGAACCAGGCTCTGTTGAAGCACCTTAGCAAGCGATTGGTTTTGACCATGGAAGATCTTGACCAGATTCGCGATTTGTTCGGGACCAAGGTGAACAGAACCATCAATCCCGGCTATCAAGCGTTTTTTCTGTAGTGACTGACATGGGCGGACTATCCATACAGGTTGCATTCTACTTTGCCTTTATTCAGACCTACCTGGTACTGCTTACTTTTCCAGCCGCTACAGGCTTCATCACCTGGTTCTTAGGTGGACGATACTCACTCACCTATGCCATCACCACCTGCGTTTGGTGTACCTTCATGGTTGAATACTGGAAGATCCAACAAACGGATCTTAGCATCCGGTGGGGCGTCCGAAATATCGCGAGTGCCAAAGTGAACAGGCCACAGTTCCAGTGGGAGAAGAGCTGGGTTGATGAGACTGGCAGGACGCGGTATTACTTCCCTCGATGGAAGCTGATACTCCGCCACCTGCTGCAAATCCCATTCGTTCTTCTTGCTACAATTGCCCTTGGAGCTATCATCATCGCCGTGTTCGCGCTTGAGATTCTCATCACTGAAGGGTATCAGGGACCCTACAAGACCGTTGTGGTATGCTTCCCCTCTGCTTTCTGAGTGAATGAGGAGAAACTGACGGCCAACTAGGAGTTTCTCCCCACCATCATGCTCGCATTGGCGTTGCCGGGAATCAGCGGATTCCTTGAGTCAATTGCTGATGCCATGACTGACTTTGAGAACCACAGAACAGCAGATACCTATGAAATGTCTCGCACACAGAAGCGATTCATCCTCAGTGGCATCACCAACTACTTGCCCATCTTGGTTACGGCCTTTCTATATGTCCCCTTTGGAGAGAGGATCATCCCCTGGCTCAGCCTCAAGACTAGGGCTCTCTTGGGGCCCTTGGGGCCCAGGGTCTTCTTTGACGAGCATCAGTCCTTCAACGTCGATTCGGGCAGACTGCGCGACGAGGTCATCGCACTGGCTTTGACGGGCCAAGTGTCCTCCTTCTTCGAGGAAAACATCATCCCTGTCGCGAAGCGAAAGTTCCAGGGTTGGTACCGCGACTACCGTGCTGCTCACTACAGTGGCAACGCCATGATTGCCGCGGCGGAGAAGGACGACCCTCTTGAAGCCGAGTTCCTACACACTGCAAGAAACCAGGCTACACTGGATACCTACAACGTCCAGGACGACATCGCCGAGGTTGTGATCCAATTTGGATACCTGGCCCTCTTCTCTCCCGTCTGGCCCCTCATCTCGATCGGATTCCTCATCAACAACGTCATCGAGCTGCGCACCGACTTCCTCAAGATCGTCACTGAGCAGCAGCGACCCGCACCCGTGCGCAGCGACGGCATCGGCCCGTGGATCAGCTCGCTCGACTTCCTGACCTGGGCGGGCAGCATCACGACGGGGGCCATCGTTCACCTGTTCGGCGCCAACAGCATTGCGGGGGGCGCGTGGTGGGCGCTCCCCATCACCATATTCATCAGCGAGCACATCTTCGTCGCGCTGCGGGCCATGGTGCGGTTCGTGCTGCAGCGGATGGGGTCCAGGCACATCCGCAAGGAGCGCGGCGAGAAGTACGCCGTCCGGGCCAAGTACCTGGAGGAGATGGAGGCGAACAAGCAGGCTGGGGCGAGGCTGACGGTCGCGGAGAGGGATCGCAGGAAGTCGATCCGCGCTTTCGGCGGCGACTCCTTCTTCACGAAGCAGATTGAGGATGGGGCGAGCGCCCTGGTTGCTATAAGCTTGGTGCAGGCCTGTGGGAAAGATGGCCGCTCGCAAGAAGGAGCGGCGGCGGATGGTAAAAAGGAGATTTGACAAGAGAGGGTATTCCTAGACAATATACTAAATGGTACGCCTCACGCAGGCGTCATTTGAACGTTACTTTGATTGTAATAATTTAATTGAATTCTAGTTTGATATTGTGTTTATTACTAGGTTGATTATTTTGATATTGTGTTGAGCTGACTGCTAGGCCCGGCTTTTTGTCAACGGATAGACAATTCATCAACAATGACACAAAGAATTCATGTGGCGGCTGTGTTGTACAAGCACTTTGTCAGAACCACTCACTCAGCCTCTCTAGATTGGAGGAACGCAGAGACTGTGTTCCCATAAAAGAAATTCTCAAAAATCGAGTCCCTCGGAGCGACTGTGTGTGTGGATAATTTGAGACGTCTACTGGTACGAGAGCTTGAACAGATTGGTGCTCATCCAGTCGTTTCAAGCATAATTTGGTTCGTGGAAAGAGTCGGGTTCTGTCGATCTTCAAAACTCGGAAAGGAATGTCCCTTATAGACTATTATTCTGGGCAATGACTCGAGTTGCCTCCAAAGCCTTACTGTCCTCTCGTGACATCTGTGGATGTAGTCTTCCCTTTCATTATATCGGCAACTGTGTCATACAAGCCAAGCTTCGAGCAAACGACCGGACCTGTGTCTCCGCCGATCGACTCAATCACAAGGACAGCACACCGACTCGCCCAAGAAACAATAACATACAGGATGTCTAAAAACACACCGAATATTCCAGTTATTAGGGGGCATAGATGAGAACATTTGGGACAATAAAAAATCGACTTATTGAGTATTGTCATCGTTTCACGCAAACTCGGAGGAAAGTCCCTATCAAAACGAAATCATTGGAGGCAAAAAATAGGCTTAGGAACAGAAGGCTAGGGTTTTCTATGGCAGAATGGCAGACATTAAATATTGTAGAATAGTTCATTATTTCCTCATTATTGTGTTTAGTATTATTATTAAGATAAAAAGGTCCCTGCCTTATATGAAAAGAGCTTTGGTGTGTCGTGTTTTATTTCAGCCACTTGCTCGCCTTCATCTTGGAGGAAGCGCATACTGTCAATGTCTTTGTCAGGCCTTGAATTGTCTCTGTTTTCATCAATAGACACAACAATCCCGAGAAGTTGAATGAATTTTGTCCAGCAATGAGATTCTTGATAACCTTCCATCCACCAGCAGTCTTTGTGACCTTCCTTCGGTGTCCCATGGCTTTGTCAATCCTAACGAGCATATGAGTGAGATGCTCTGGATCGCTGGAGTATCTGTAAAAGGCGATGGATTTTCTCATTTCGGAAATGAAGACCTTGACCTGATCCTCATCCTTCACCTCCTGGCCCTGCTTGGCCGATGCCAGGCGTCGTTGCTCGAACACTTCTGCGGCACCTGACAGAATGCCGACATTGTCTTTGAGGAACTCCTCAGAAAAGTCCGAAATGAGCCCGCTCCAGTCAGCCTCTCGCATATCGGCTTGTGTCGAAAAATTGGCGTCGGCGTCAAGCCACTCACGGTAGTAGAAGGTGGAGTTGTCAGTTGGTAACGGACTGACGCTGCAGAGGCCATCATTGGCCTTGTTCACAAGGTTGAAGTAGCGCGACCTCTCGTCCGCAATTCGCCTGACAACGATTTGTACCTCACCCGACTTTCTCGTTGTCAGAGGGTTTCTTGAGAGCGCTTTCTAGGGTCTCGGTCTTACTTTCACCTGAAGTTTCCTTCGACTGGTTGATGCTCTCTCCGACGACCACGGCGAGATCCTTGACATCGACATCGGCGGCGTTCCAAAAGTCCGTTTCTTCGGGACCAAAGTTTTGCCCAGCACCAATATCATCCTTGCTACCCTTAGTTTCTGGGGCAGTCTTGCTACTCCCCGTGGTTTCACGTCTGAATCGAATTACGCGTCTCTCAACGCGTTCTGGCTTGCTGGTATCATACGCATTCAGAGCGATATCGATTGCTCTATCAATCGGAGTGTGAACCACGCTTCCTGTGAATTTAATTATCAGTTAGCAGAGCCACTGCATTAGAAAATGAATGAACCGACCTGTTGGTTCAGACGTCTCTTGCCCATTCTCTTGAATCAATGAAATAGGCAGGTGCTTGCGAGCAGGATAAAATATGGCTATAGAGCTCCGAGGATAGTTACGACGTCAATGAATGAGAGGTCGTTGTTGAGAGAGATTGTGGGATGATATTTGGGGAAGATGTTAGATAATTTGAGGGAGAAGAGAAGCTGAGGGAAACTGAGGGAATGCGAGGAATGTGAGGGAATCTGAGAGCAAGGTGAGGGGATTTGGCACTCGGTTCGTCTATCTACCTCACTTTGGAGGAAACGCACGGATAATTTCTTGCTGTGAGCGACAGCCTTTTGTTTCTCCCTTCATAAATAGACCCGATACTCCTGAGAAATTTCTTGGACTCTGATAAACTGCATCGAGCTCTCTGAATCACTGAATCCTAAGAAAAGATGTCAAGTCATCACGACGAAATCATGAAAAGTAAGTGTATTAATTACAACCCAGTTACTTGACTTTTATTATTGACTGTATCAAATTCAAGTTAAGATCCATTGCCTTAACGTCCTTACCAAGGAGATCAACGTCGTGCTTGAGACTAAGCCTCCTACCATTCCTGTTGGGAAGTTCGCCCGCTACCAGTCCCAACCCTAGCCTTCAAATGCCATCCCGAACCTAACCGAGAAACACAGCCTTGAGATGGACACGCACTCCATAGAGCACCGCAGTTAAGTATCTTGTAGACTTGGCTCACTACCCAGAGTCTGGATAAGCGGCGGGGAAACAGAGCCCATTGGGATCGGTTCCCAGCTTGGCCGAAGACCAACAACTCCTCAATAAAAGCCTTTGTTGACTGAGTGTGGAAAACCTACCCCTTCGGGACTGAAAATCCCTCGATGAATTGTCAGGTCACCAGGGCATGCCTTAGTAACCATCCAGTATTCGTCCTCGTCGTTGGTAATACAAATTTGAACGAGGCGGGGCAAACAGGTTGACAGCCGGAGAAGGAGGTCTTTGTAGAATCTGACCTCCCTTGCCACGGTATAACCAAAACTGTGAGCTACGTCGACTTCAATACTGATGGCAAGGCGCTTCAGACCTGGCATATTTTTGAAGATTTTGATGGCCTTGGCGAATTCTTCTTCCTATTTTTTTCAGTGAATGGTCAGCCTGCCCTTGTCTCAAGTTCGAGCAGCTGGGTGACTTGGCACTTACGAAGGCGGACACCACGGCTTCGTTGTCATCTGTGAAATTCCAATAGCGTTTTTGAAGGACAAGCTCCTCGAGACCTTGATACCGCTCCGCAATCCTTTTTAGATTTACTTCGTTGATTGTCGGAAATTGGATAGGGCCACCAGATTTCACACGACCTACACCTGCGCATAATCGCCTGAGCCTTCCGACCACGGGCTTAAACTGAATTATGTTGATCCCGATTGGGAGATGGAGTGCTTGAAGCTGAGGACTCTTCTCCAGAACTCGGCTCATGATACGGTTTGAGGCAGAGATTCGTATATGTTCAGCCTGGATCTCTATGTTTTGCAACAACCCAAAGAAAAAGCTTTCTTGACATGCACTAAACCCGTCTATGTCCAGCCTTAATGACCGGAGATTACACATGGCCCGGATGCAATCAAAGATTTGTAGGGGGAGGCAGGTAGCCACTGGCAAGGGGTCTGAAAATATTGCTTCCCGCGGCTGCCCTTCCTTGAAAGGGACCATGAAAGATATAGATCTGTCAAGATTAGTTATGTCACACATTTGATAGAGGTACGCATAATCATACCGGACGGTACTGTATGGCATTATGCGAGTAGGAGTTTTCAGAGAGCAAAGAAAATCTCCGAGCTTCTGTGAGACATCCGCTTGCGAACCGCAGAATTTAACAACCTTATGAATCATGTCTATCAGCGGGAGCCTGATGTGAGAAGATGCTGAAGCAAAAGCGTCAAGTGTTTCTTTGTCACATGATGTGGCGATTTTTCTCAGCATCTCCGGACCTAAAGTCTCAATCGTGGATAGCATTCTCATGAAACTTGATGTTGCGATGCCAAGGTGAGAGAGGTTTCGTGATTTACATCGAAGTATTGATGAGAGCGGGTATCACTGGATGAGGAGGCAAGTTGTCTGGTTTGTATTAAACTCGCGTTGAACTGGGGGTGGCGGGAAGGGTTTTCTCTTTGATAAAGGAACGTACATAATAAATGAAGTAGCTCCGAGGAGGTGATTTTATATCCACTTGAAGGCGGTGAGAGCCCAGTGGTGAGGAAGGTGAGGAAGGGGAGAACCTTCTCCTCCCGGTTTCTTGGTTTGTATGAAGACTGCCACACGGGAGCGAAATTATCTGGTGTTGGGTCACCAGGGCCACTCTGAGGGGTAGTAATTGTAGCTATGAAGTCTAATATCAAGACAGAAGCAAGCTACACAGTAATTGATCTCGCTATAATTTCCTACATTTATACTAGTTGGAGCTGCAGCTAAAGATTACCTGATTTGCCTCATGATTCCTCATCCCTTAGACTGATTGAAAAGCTGAACTATTAGCTTGTCTTAAAATGAGCCGAAACGACTCAACCAGTATCAACATCACAGTACCCAGCCCCTAAGATCTACCTAATAAGTAAATGGGAAATTCATTAGACCCAGCCTTGAAAGCGCCGTGGGTAAACAAGGGAAAGATCGAGTGGTTTTGGCTAAAAAAACCCTGCAAGTGATCCGATCCGGCGTCAATTAGATTTCGCAGCTATTTAGGCCTGGTGCCAATGGAAAAAGACAAAGGGCGTCCATCAGACACGGGCGACTGGGAAACCTGCAATATCGAGATCAAGAGCAGACAAAGCCCCAACAACAACCCAGTATGTAAACTCAGCACCATAATCTTGCGCGGGGGATTCAAACGGGAGCTCACAATATCTGCTTCCCTTCATGGAAAGGTTAAGGAAGGTTTGCTCAGAGTTGCTTGAGCTTGGCTCGCCACGAGTACAAAAACAGAAATTCTTCTGCGCTGCGCCAGTTTGGATAACAAAACCAAGGTGTTTCTGAAGAAAAATTCATTCTTCCCACTCATGAAAGAGGTGGAATGCACAGACTCCAACATTTTGGTTGCCAGTCCTTTGATATAAATCCCATCACATACTCCCATATTTGATCTTGGCTTGCACTGAATTCCCTTGATCTATCTTTATTCTGGTAATAATTGCCACTCCGACCTGAGTCGCTCCTGGAAGCCATGGCCAACTCTAATGCAAACACCCCTCCCGCCGTTGTTGACTCAATAGAAGAAGCTCCTGAATGGACAGGCGAATGCACATCATTTGACGAAGCATGGAAGAGTATGCTTGCCGCAGTACCTTCCATGTCACCAGAGTCTATGAGACCTTATGAAAACACGGAGCAGGTAGTTTTGGCCCTGCCTCGGATCACTCTTGGTTCGCCTTGGACACCTACTCCGTATACCCTACCTGAACGTAAAAGAGGAAGCCCCCATGAGTTACAGCACTCTACTGGGAGTAGAGGGAACACTCCGATTCCCTTTACTCCTTCAAGTGAGAACGTATCTCGTCAAGACGATGCGCATATATCCAAGAGGCAAGAAACAACAGCTTGGCAGCCACGGAGCCAGTCAAGGGCTGCATCGCCCGACCCCGAACATTCGGAGAATTCTCATGGCACAGCCCGACATGTGCCCAGATGGCAAGCGGAGACCGATTCTGGTGAGGAGAGGGATTCGTCAAGGACGAACCAGATGGCCTTTGAGCGACGCAGTTCCCAGACATGGACCAATGCAAGGGCACGACATGACGGGCAGCGGACGGCTTCGAGCTCTCGACATCGAGGATCGAGGGTCGTGTCAAGACGTGTGGACAAGCGCAGCCGCATGGCTGAGTACAGTCGATTTTTGCTGTCCAGAATCCAGCAAGTGGCTACCGAGGTCGATCATAATGAGCCACGGTATCAGGACTCGAGCGAGGGGGACGAAGAGATAGCTGCTCTCAATTATATCGACAAGCAGCTCAACGAAGTTCTGCACAATAGAGTGATGCGCCGAGGCGAAAGCGTGCTCTCATCCAGCCATTAGCCAGGTACTGGATCAAGGGGAGATGCGTGCAATGATAGATCGGAGGGATCAAACAATGATTGGATGTAAAGATATCGGCTGACGCAATGCCATCCTCCACACGAGCTGATGTGGGACGGCATGAATGTAGGCCGAACCTATGGGCTGTGGGTTGCGGGCAAAGAGTATGAGAGCGTGGCTGGACCAACATCAAGGAAACCAATGTTGCTTGATTTCAAGTTTTAAAGTGGTATATTCTTCTTATATAGCTCATTTACCCCTATTGAACCAGATAATGAGCCAGCATAGTAAAAGAATTGTTGGTGTTGTTATCCTGAAAAACCATGCTAGTCCTCCGTTGATGTAAATGTAACTCCTGCATCCTGCGACAAAGATCAACCCTATAATCTGTATGCGAATAAAGGACGAAAATGATTGCCAGAATAACAAGATCTCATTGCGGAATACTATGGTCACTTGAACGCGATCATTGCGGGATTCTGCAAACAAATAAAGTACATAGCTTCACCAATAGAGACAGCTCTTCAATCCCTGGGGCTGCATTACAGGACTAGTATGTTAAGTAGCAGGGACTTGGGTGTGAGGGTGTTGAATGCGGAGATTTGCAAGCTGAGAAAACAGGTTGGATGGAGAAAACAACAAGCATCCTGGCCGGCAAGGGGCAAGTGCTCACGTGTTGGACCAGAGTCTCAAACGAAGCTCCAAAGAAAGCGAAGCCGCCTAGGGGCAACACGACCACATAGTACCTTGCTAGATTAGCTGAATGGCACCAGCGTCGGAGATGAGCGAAGCAACTAGCCATCAATAGAGGCCCAACCTCGACCCTCTCCTGCAGAAAGTGCATAGGAGGGGCCCCAGATAGAGATACTTCACCTGGTGGCTAATAGCTCCATGCACGATCAGGTCTAGAGCGATAGCCAGACGGTTCTCGCAGCGAAGAATGTCAACACGCCCTTCTTCCCCATTGGGCATCTAGGGGAACGCCATTGACTCAAAAGTGGCTGCCTGGGAGCTAGACAAGCTTTGAGATTGTTGAGGAGGCTAGTGTGAGGCTCTTTTCTCAGCGTCACCGATGCCATGAAAGCCAGCAAGTATATGAATCTTCGAGCAATGTGAGCACCGAGGTTAGTTGGTGCTGGAAGGGCCTTAAAGTAACCAGCCGACAAGGGGCCGTCTTGACCATCTCTATGCTCTGCGTATCCTGACGATTTATCAATGTTTGGCACAACATATTCCATTCGGGATATATGACAGCCCAGCCTCACGAAGTTGAGCTCGCGCCCAGTGTGGCCCGCAGTCTGAAACTATTATGATCGTTCGGCCACGAACCCACTCGCATGAGCCGCTCATGGATGAACGCCCGGCGCAAAATCTGATAATGCTTGTGGGTAGTCTTGTGTGAGAGCAAACGCTAGCGACGGGGGTATGGAAGCTTGGCGCCACTGCTTTGCTAGAGAATTCGGTTGCCTAGATGAGCTTATTTTGGCCGTTTCCCCTTGGACATGACATTGCTTGGCCTGCATGCTGAGGTGGTTTGCCAATAAACAGACCAGCAAAGGGCATTTGGCCCGAGTTCGCCCGTCCAGGCTCTGCCAGGATCGGGTCTGGCCAAGCTATTTGCCAATCGATGGTGTCCGGGATGGATAATCCTTCACTGAGGAGAGGAAGAATGTCCCTGGCCATGGGGACATCATTGCCCGTCTTGTACAATGGGATTAAATGAATCGACGAACCGTAAGATATGATTTCCATCCCCTCCTTCTGCTAGCCCCAGACCCAAGGACACAACCATCCCACTCACAAGTGTCTGTCGAAGCATTGCCGATTTCGGCTGTCGCTTCTCGATGGCTTTGACTACTGTTGAGGGGCGTGCCTTGCATGTCAAATCGACGGGGACGGGCTATTGGGGCTGAATCAAGCCGCGTCCAGGCAGCAGAATAAAAATTGATTCTTCTGGTTCTTCTTGGCTTCCGTGCAGTAGGCGGGTTGGCGTTACGTACTAGTGGCACTGTCATTCACTAATATCCCGAACAGCGGGGCAATTGCCAAGATTGAATCCATTGGCGGACGTCCCTCTCCTCGAGAAGAGAGGTCTGTCCGTGGGGAGATGGAGATGGCGGCAGCTGTTTGCGAGTTGGAGATGTCCCCTGACTCGCTCCCTTCTGGATTTGCCGGGTTTTAGTGTGTCGCCACGGCATCTTTGCCCTTGGAGGAGCTTAGCCCAGTGCAGTTAGGTACAGCACTGGTTGCTCCTTCCTCCCTCAATGGAAAATGGGCGAGGCACGTAAGCATGTGCATTTTATGACTTCATTGACCTTCTGTCACCTCAGTTGCACTTTCCATACCTATCATCAAATCTAGTCATGCTGGGCCACAGCACTGTACATGTAGCACCGCAACCTTATTTCAGCGCACAGCGGCTTGTCGGCCGCCAATTCCTTTCAACAGCGACCCAAATACTCGCTAGCGGCCGCTGGGGGGGCTTGAGTTGCGCCGCATTAAGCCCAAGACGGAATGATCAACATCCCCAGACTCAGAACCCCCATTTTCTAGCCTGGAACATCGGGCGAAGCGCTAGATAGACCGCCTCCAGGCTCCTCACAGCTGCCGTGTCACCGCCCAACCACTGGGAACAATGCCCTCAGCTCGGGTGGTGGGAACTACCAGCTGGCACACCGTCGTCGCATTCGACATGCACCCGCAACCGGCTACCACACCAGGGTAAAAAGAAGCTTATTTGCATCTCACCAATGGCAGCTGGCCAGATAGGCTTCGGTACGCCCGTCAGTTGACCAGTTGCGCAAACCTTGGAGCAGCAACGGCA